TGAAATTAGCGAACACTTCAAAGATTGAGCCTTTGAAAGTGATTAATAAAATGAGGCCACACATGGCAGAAGACTATCTGTGGCTTACTACTGTATCTGAGGGAGGAGAAGCACACATAGAGAAGGAAGAGGGGGAAATGTCAAGAGAGATTAAGAACATTCCACAGAGGTTACCCTTCAAAAAGAGAGAGAGATAGGGAGAAGTAGAGGGGGAGAGAGCTCTACTTCTCCCTGGGGAGAACAAGTATTTGATACACTGCCGATTTTGCAGGTTTTCCTACTTACAAAGCATGTAGAGGTCTGTAATTTTTATCATAGGTACACTTCAACTGTGAGAGACGGAATCTAAAAAGAAATCCAGAAAATCACATTGTATGATTTTTAAGTAATTCATTTGCATTTTATTGCATGACATAAGTATTTGATCACCTACCAACCAGTAAGAAATCCGGCTCTCACAGACCTGTTAGTTTTTCTTTAAGAAGCCCTCCTGTTCTCCACTCATTACCTGTATTAACTACACCTGTTTGAACTCGTTACCTGTATAAAAGACACCTGTCCACACACTCAATCAAACAGACTCCAACCTCTCCACAATGGCCAAGACCAGAGAGCTGTGTAAGGACATCAGGGATAAAATTGTAGACCTGCACAAGGCTGGGATGGGCTACAGGATAATAGGCAAGCAGCTTGGTGAGAAGGCAACAACTGTTGGCGCAATTATTAGAAAATTGAAGAAGTTCAAGATGACGGTCAATCACCCTCGGTCTGGGGCTCCATGCAAGATCTCACCTCGTGGGGCATCAATGATCATGAGGAAGGTGAGGGATCAGCCCAGAACTACACGGCAGGACCTGGTCAATGACCTGAAGAGAGCTGGGACCACAGTCTCAAAGAAAACCATTAGTAACACACTACGCCGTCATGGATTAAAATCCTGCAGCGCACGCAAGGTCCCCCTGCTCAAGCCAGCGCATGTCCAGGCCCGTCTGAAGTTTGCCTATGACCATCTGGATGATCCAGAGGAGGAATGGGAGAAGGTCATGTGGTCTGATGAGACAAAAATAGAGCTTTTTGGTCTAAACTCCACTCGCCGTGTTTGGAGGAAGAAGAAGGATGAGTACAAGGGGACAGGTCGACTGCACCGTATTGAGGGGAGGATGGATGGGGCCATGTATCGCGAGATCTTGGCCAACAACCTCCTTCCCTCAGTAAGAGCATTGAAGATGGGTCGTGGCTGGGTCTTCCAGCATGACAACGACCCGAAACACACAGTCAGGGCAACTAGGGAGTGGCTACGTAAGAAGCATCTCAAGGTCCTGGAGTGGCCTAGCCAGTCTCCAGACCTGAACCCAATAGAAAACCTTTGGAGGGAGCTGAAAGTCCGTATTGCCCAGCGACAGCCCCGAAACCTGAAGGATCTGGAGAAGGTCTGTATGGAGGAGTGGGCCAAAATCCCTGCTGCAGTATGTGCAAACCTGGTCAAGACCTACAGGAAACGTATGATCTCTGCAATTGCAAACAAAGGTTTCTGTACCAAATATTAAGTTCTGCATTTCTGATGTATCAAATACTTATGTCATGCAATAAAATGCAAATGAATTACTTAAAAATCATACAATGTGATTTTCTGGATTTCTTTTTAGATTCCGTCTCTCACAGTTGAAGTGTACCTATGATAAAAATTACAGACCTCTACATGCTTTTTAAGTAGGAAAACCTGCAAAATCGGCAGTGTATCAAATACTTGTTCTCCCCACTGTACCTTTAGGCGTTTGGAAATTTCTCCCAAGGATGAACCAGACTTGTAGAGGTCTACAATTTGTTTTCTGAGGTCTTGGCTGATTTCTTTAGATTTTCCCATGATGACAAGCAAAGAGGCACTGAGTTTGAAGGTAGGCCTTCAAATACATCCACAGGTGCACCTCCAATTGACTCAAATTATGTCAATTAGCCTATCAGAAGCTTCTAAAGCCATGACATAATTTTCTGGAATTTTCCAAGCTGTTTAAAGGCACAGTCAACTTAGTGTATGTACATTTCTGACCCACTGGAATTGTAATACAGTGAATTATAAATGAAATAATCTGTAAACAATTGTTGGGAAAAAGTACTTGTGTCATGCACATAGTAGATGTCCTAACCGACTTGCCAAAACTATAGTTTGTTAACAAGACATTTGTGGAGTGGTTGAAAAACTAGTTTTAATGACTCCAACCTAAGTGTATGTAAACTTCCGACTTCAACTGTATTTAGAGGAAGGCTTGACAGTGATGGGGCAGCAGAGTCATGATATTTGTTAAATATACACCATAGTATCCATCTTTCCCATGACCATATCTGATGGACCTGACCCTTGATGGCCTTTCTCATTTACCTCTCCCTCTTGCTCCTTCTCACTTTATCTCATCTCTCTCTCTCTCTCTCTCTCTCTCTCTCTTCTTTTCTCTCTTTCTCTCTTTCTCGCTCTCGCTCTCTCTCTCTCTCCTTGGAGAAGTGGATAAGTCCAGTATGAATAGAGAGGTTTAACACCATAAAAGCCCAGTGGACACAGTCTTATGGAACCACAAAAGATAGGAATAGAAATGGAAAGACAAGAGAAATCAAACAAAGCAGACAGTAAGGGAAAGAAAAGACGGGGAACGTGAGACGAGAGTATTAGGAGTGAATAAAAAAAGATGGAGGACAAGAAAGAGGGAAATCTACCATGTGAAGGTACAGTATATTGAGAATAAGACCGTAAATGACCAAGACTAACCATAAGAACAGGGATGGATACGTTACACATTGACTGTGTGCATATCACTGTGCATTAACTTTAGCATTAGCGCTGAGGTTCAAGGGTCGGGGTTGCTCTGACTTAGCGCTGTACTTAGAACTTTTGGGATGAGTACGGCAGATAGAGAGACACTGAGCCGGCCTGTGATAGAGAGAGTGCTGACAGGTCGTAACCAGAGATACTGATCTCCAGAGATACTGGCCTTGAGCCAAACTGGGCTGAAGGCCTGAAGGAGAGAAGGGGTTGGGTGTTGGTCTGACCAAAGATAATTACTTGTCAAATTCCGGCCTGTTTTTATAGTATCCGAACCCATCTTATTTAGCAGTGGAATCTAGGGATGGTCTCATCTATCAATTTACTGGACAGGATTTGTCATTTTGATTGCTGACTTCTACACTGTTGTCACAGAGGAGACCGTGCAGCCCTTAGTTACTACATGTTCCATATTTCTCCTGTCCTTTAACAATGTCATGATGGGTGGTTAAACAAATCCTTTGTGCCAGCTTTGGACACAAGGCCTTGTCATCGGGGCTTACCGTCTCATGGCATGTTCTCTATGGTGCATAACTCCCATCCTAGTCAACAACAGTGGACTGAGCAGCGAATGGAGCACCAGAAATTCACTGACCCACTTACCTTCCATCTATGAACTGGGCCTGCTGCAAAGGCCCGGAACCTGGGCTAAAGATACCATTTAATGCCCTGTGCGTCAAAGACCCCTCGAGACCTAAGACAGTGGGTGTTGCCAGGGCTAAAACTACATGTGCTGAGAACCGTTAACAGATTGCTGCCTGAAAAACAAACCTTATCAAAAATAGACGTGTCGGCTGCTCAGTATGCCAACACTGAGAACACAGCCAGGGTCATGCAAAACAACCAGAGTGCCAAGGCCAAGGCTGAAATCTCAGAATTGCAGTTTGGCACACTCATGGGACAATAGTTCTGCAAAGTCAGTTGTGATTGATCAGATGGGGATGGTTCGGGAGACCTGGTTGATGTTCTAAATTCTGTGGTTGGGTTGTTTAATAGATTTTGCTGACTACAAATCCCAAGGCACTGAGACTATTTCTGTTATCACTTTAACAGGTGCTCTGAACAAGGACACTGTCTGTACAAATTATAGCTTTGGATGGCAGATCCATGTGTCCTGCCAGAGTTTGAGCCAGAGATCATTACCGTTACTGTGTGGTTCAGTTTGTTTTGCAGTAACTAAGTCTTAATCTCTACATTCATTAGGCACCCTTGTGGCAGTATTGTAGATCTCAGATATTAGTACTTTGATGGTCTTAAACCCTATCAAAAGCATCTTAGTCTTGAGGCTGTGTTCTTTGATATTTTTCAGTCACATTATTCTTCATGATCTTCTCTTCAAAACTATCTATCTCTATCAATAATATACACACAGTAGCCACTGTTTCTAGAGCAGGTTGATGTTTATTGGGATTAATCTTGTCCTGGAGGCAAAATTTAGCGATTTCCACTAAATGGGCCAGCTGCAAAGTCAAAATTCATTTTAAGTTTAGGGTTTGGTATAAGGTTAGCAGTGTTGTTAAGGTTAGGGTTAGGTCTGATTTTATGACTTTGTGGCTGTGCCAGCTAGTGACTACATGGCAGAGCTGCCTCCAGTACATGAGTCATCCCAATAAATGCGAACCTTGGTTTCCATATACAGTGTACTTTACTTTGACTCCAATTCCAATACTCTTTCTTTGCCAGAGGCAGAGCCTGAAGAAATTGGTAAGAACTGCACAAAGCAAGGTTGAGTGAATGTGCAACTCCTCTGTGGTTACATAAAAATGTGTATTTGTGTATTGTATGAAATTATGTGTTATGTGTCTAAGTACCGATATAATATTGTATGTACATTGTACATGGGAATGCATTAATGTATCAACATTCAGAATTTACACTACAGTGCTGTGTGCAGGCGTGGATTATGCATATCTAGACTTCTACATAATATATGTGCATTCAAATCATTTGTGAATGTTTGTATGTATGCATGTTTGCACAGTGTGGAGTCAAATATTGGTAATTCACAGCTGTGATTATTTTATATTATATTAACTACAGTTTAATGGTCCATGATGTTTTCGAGATGGTATGGTTGGAATCTAACCCTTGCTCTCTTTACAGAACCTCTACATACAACTGATGAAAACTTATGTCACTCAGGATGTAACAATTAATTATTGTATATGTTTGTCCTTCAATTGTAGCGGCCAAGACAGATAAGGCTGCAGCAGCACCTGCTGGTGAGTCCACTCATGACAAATGGATGACAAATCCTGATACTTGAAATACTTCAGTGAATTCTTAGGTCTATACTAAAATCAATATGTCTGATTTAATTTTTCTCCTTTTTATTTTTTGCCAGATAAGGGTGGGTGAGAACAGAGCATGTGTGTGTGTGTGTGTGTTAACCTGTGTCCCTTTGTGTGTGTTTTTGTTAGTTGTGTTAGAGTCAGTAGGGCATAATCATCCCGTCATCATTCCAATGTAATGTGGGTTAACTGTTTTCCCTCATTCAGCGAAACCAGCGGAGGATCATGGTAAGGCCTCTAAGACCAATCACAGAAGTAGCTTTCTGTGGGGATGAGACTGAGAGTGGCCATGCATGATTCTCACCACGCACCACGACAGTGTTGATCAGATAGCATGCCAGTACACTTAACTTAGGCTTCACACATGTTTATATTCACTGCTATCACAATTTCCTACTGGTTTATACCTGAAAAAACAAACTATATTCATTTAAATGATATATTACTAATTATTATTTTTATTACCCGAGATAACAGTTTAATCAGTTAGTAAGAGCTACCTATGTTAAGGTTGAGGTTATGCTTGTTATGTGGGTTATTTTGGCAAGCACTGGAGTGTGTTAAAAAAAAACAAGCACACATAGAACTTGAAAAAGCCATGAGTAAAATCATTGAGGATAACACACAATAAAGTCTGGGACTTATTTCCATTGTGGTCCTCTTGAAACAAGATGGCTAGGAAAGATCCAACACGGTTGAACACAGCGAGATAAAATATAAAAACAAAGAAGAAGAACATCTATCTCATCATTACAGTTACATCGTAGGGTACATTCATATAGGCACAGAAGACATCAAACAGTTTTTTACTTTATTTTATTGTGCGTGTGTGGTATTATTATTTATTGTGCGTGTGTGTATGGGGTGTGGTATTATATTTATTGTGTGTGTGTGTATGGGGTGTGGTATTATTATTTATTGTGCGTGTTCATGTGTGTGTACACTGTAAAAATTTGTAAAACAACCAGCTGCAATAGGATTGTGAGTTTGCTCAACAAAAATGTTATTGAGCAAACTCACAACAAAAAGCAATTGTATATTGAATCAAAATCTTTTATTTTTATTTTTACAGTATATAGTATACACACAGCATTAAGTTGAAGTCAGTGTGTTATCTACGGTTCATCAGAGAGATGGTGGAGGTATTTGCTTGTGGGTATACGAGTAGTTGTATGTGTGTGTGTGAGGAATCTTAATTTGAGCCAGATCGCTACAGCAGGAAAATAATCCTGCAGTAACAGGAAATGTGAATTATTATGTTGATTATAATTAATGGATATTTTTTGTAGGGGTTGATACATTTGACGTTAGGGCAAATCAAGTCTGACATTTTAAAGTGGAAATTACAAACTTTAGAAGGCTTTTTAAACCTTGAATATGCTACAAGTTTGCATTTCCTGCTGTGCAGGAAAATTCTGATCAACAAAAGAGGGATCAAATTAAGAACCTACAACAGACTCAGTCCGTTTGGTACAGTCTAGTTCATCTCACTGAAATTCTGTCATTGTATACACTACTGGTCAAAAGTCTTAGAACACCTACTCATTTAAGGGTTTTCACCTGGAATGCTTTTCCAACAGTCTTGAAGGAGTTCCCACATATGCTGAGCACTTGTTGGCTGCTTTTCCTTCACTCTGCGGTCCGACTCAGGTCGGGGGATTGTGGAGGCCAGGTCATCTGATACAGTACTCCATCACTCTCCTTCTTGGACAAATAGCCCTTACACAGCCTGGAGGTGTGTTGGGTCATTGTCCTGTTGAAAAATAAATTATAGTCCCACTAAGCACAAACCAGATGGGATGGTGTATCTCTGCAGAATGCTGTGGTAGCCATGCTGGTTAAGTGTGCCTTGAATTCTAAATAAATCACAGACAGTGTCACCAGCAAAGCACCCCCACACCATAACACCTCCTCCTCCATGCTTTATGGTGGGAACTACACATGCGGAGATCATCCGTTCACCCACATTGCGCCTCACAAAGACGCAGCGGTTGGAACCAAAAATCTCAAATTTGGACTCCAGACGAAAGGACACATTTTCCAGCGGTCTAATGTCCATTGCTCGAGTTTCTTGGCCCAAGCAAGTCTCTTCTTCTTATAGTTGTCCTTTAGTAGTGGTTTCTTTGCAGCAATTCGACCATGAAGGCCTGATTCACATAGTCTCCTCTGAACAGTTGATGTTGAGATGTGTCTGTTACTTGACCTCTGTGAAGCATTTATTTGGGCTGCAATTTCTGAGGCTGGTAACTCTAATGAACTTATCCTCTGCAGCAGAGGTAACTCTGGGTCTTCCATTCCTGTGGCGGTCATCATGAGAGCCAGTTTCATCATAGCGCTTGATGGTTTTTGCGACTGCATTTGAAGAAACTTTCAAAGTTCTTGAACTTTTCCGTATTGACTGACCTTCATGTCTTAAAGTAATGATGGACTATCATTTCTCTTTGCTTATTTGAGCTGTTCTTGCCATAATATGGACTTGGTCTTTTACCAAATAGGGCTATCCTCACAACACAACTGATTGGCTCAAACGCATTAAGAAGGAAAGAAATTCCACAAATTAACTTTTAAGAAGGCACACCTGTTAATTGAAATGCATTCCAGGTGACTGCCTCATGAAGCTGGTTGAGAGAATGCCAAGAGTGTGCAAAGCTGTCATCAAGGCAAAGGGTAGCTATTTGAAGAATCTCAAATATAAAATATATTTTGATTTGTTTAACACTTTTTTGGTTACTACATGATTCCATATGTGGTATTTAATAGTTTTGATGTAGTTACAATGTAGAAAATAGTAAAAATAAAGAAAAGCCCTTGAATGAGTAGGTGTTCTAAAACTTTTGACCGGTAGTGTAGACAGAGGTCGAACCTGTTAAGGAGGGTAAGAGCTTTTCTGGCTAAATGTGTTAGTTGCGTATGTGTACCCTATGTGTGAGTTCATATTGCATCATGTAAGGCAGCTCTACTCAATATTTAAGTCTGGTTCCTCTCACTTAAACCCTCTTATTTATATTGGCAGAAGAGCCACCTGTAATAAAGGGTAAGAGCTTTTCTGGCTGAATGTGATACTTACGTGAGTGTATGCAATGTACGAAGATAGCATTCTGTATGAAAAGGTGTGTGTGTGTGTGTGTGTGTGTGTGTGTGTGTGTGTGTGTGTGTGTGTAAATCATGCCATATTTACTCAGCAATTACTCAAGTTCCTCTTCTAAAAGCCCTTAATTTTCTTGGCAGAAGCCCGGTCTGTTATAGAGGGTAAGAGCTTTTCTGGCCTAACATGTCACTTGTACGGAATGTGAGTGTGTGTGTGTGTGTTTGTCTGTGTGAATGCTTACAAGGTGCAATACTACTTATTCAGTTCATCCCCTAAAACCAGCCTGCTGCAGAGGGTAAGTGCTTCTCTAGCTGAATGTGTTACTTGTATGTGTGCGCATACTATTATGTGGAAGTGTACCTGTGTGACTGTATGTGTTTATGTATGTGTGGATATGTGTGTATAAGGTGCATCATGCTAGCTTTACAAATGGACAAAACAGTTTTTCATTCTAAATTCTAATTCTACTCATGCTCAATTAATGCCCTGCTTAATATCTGATCATTTTCATTAACAGATGGTGTTACAGATGGTAAGAGCTTTTCTGGCCTAATGTGTCACTTGTAAAAATGTGTGTGTGTGTGTTTGTTTGTGTGCAGGACCGGCTCTAGCCTGTTGGGGGCCCTGAGCGAGATTTGGTTGACTAACAAAATCAATGGGGGCCCCTGGAGTTCAGGGCCTCTGGGCACATGCCCTGCGTGACCGGTCGGTATTCGGCCATGATTACTACAAGTTTAGATAGCTGGCTAGACTAATTTACCAATCTAAAAGTTGTTAGCTGATATGGCATATTGAGTGACTGACATAACAAGAGAAAAATGTCGAACTTGCACCTTGTATTCTATTATTCAACAGTAAGTTGAGACCCCAACTGAGTTTTATTTGGGGGAGGGGGTTTGGGGGCCCCCTAGCAGCCTTAGGCCCTAAGTGACCGCTTTTGTCTCTTATGCCTGGAGCCGGCCCTGTTTGTGTGTACAAGTTACATCATGCTAACATTAAAATCTTATAATTTTCATTAACAGAGGCCCAGCCTGCTCCAGAGGGTAAGCTTTTCTGGCTGGATGTGTTACTTGTACAGAGTGTGTGTGCAATGTGCATCATGCTAGCATTACTAGTCATGTTAGTGAATGTGTTACCTGTGTGATTGTATGTTGATGTATGGGTGTCTGGTGCATCATGCTAGCATTACTAAGTTATTTCACACCCTGCCTAAAATCGTATCATTTTAGTTAACAGCCTGTTATAGATGGTAAGAGCTTTTCTGACCTAGGGTGTCATTTACATTTTTACATTTTAGTCATTTAGCAGACGCTCTTATCCAGAGCGACTTACAGTTAGTGAGTGCATACATTTTCATACTGGCCCCCCTTGGGAATCGAACCCACAACCCTGGCGTTGCAAGCGCCATGCTCTACCAGCTGAGCTACACAGGGCCCACTTGAACAGAGAGTGTGTGTGTGTGTGTGTGTGTGTGTGTGTGCGTGCGTGGTGTATTTGTCTCTATAAATGTGTACAAGGTGCATCATGCTTAACAACTCATGTTAGTTAAATGTATCCCCTAAATCCTCATTATATTTTATTAACAGAGGCCCAGCCTGCTACTGAGGCTAAGAGGTTTTCTGGCCTAACATGTCACTTGTGCATAATGTGTGTGGGAGAGTGCGTGCTTTCGTGCGTGTGTGTTTGTCTGTGTACCTGCAAAGTGCAACATGCTAGCATAACCACTGTGATAGTTCAATCTGCTAAAATAATGTATTAACAGAGGCCCAGCCTGCAGTATTAACACAGGCCCAGCCTGCAAGTTTAACACAGGCCCAGCCTGCAACATTAACACAGGCCCAGCCTGCAACATTAACACAGGCCCAGCCTGCAACATTAACACAGGCCCAGCCTGCAACAGTAACACAGGCCCAGCCTGCAACATGAACACAGGCCCAGCCTGCAACATGAACACAGGCCCAGCCTGCAACATGAACACAGGCCCAGCCTGCAACATGAACACAGGCCCAGCCTGCAACATGAACACAGGCCCAGCCTGCAACATTAACACAGGCCCAGCCTGCAACATTAACACAGGCCCAGCCTGCAACATTAACACAGGCCCAGCCTGCAACATTAACACAGGCCCAGCCTGCAACATTAACACAGGCCCAGCCGCAACAGGGGGTAAGAGCTTTTCAGTCTGAATGTGTTAAGCCTTAATTTACATCCCACGCAGTATGCAACGCAACAACTACAATAAGCTAGGCAAAATGGCGATCCTGCATAGTTGCGTAGCTAAAATACACAGACATGTGCAGCCCCGCAATTAGAAACTCGATGCAAGTAGGCAGGAGGATCGCCATTTAACGTAGCTAATTGCATGCTTGATATGCGTACATACGTATGGTATACAGTGCATTCGGAAAGTATTCAGACCCCTTGACTTTTTCGACATTTTGTTACGTTACAGCCTTATTCTAAAATGGATTAAATAAATAAAAAAATCCTCATCAATCTGCACACAATATCCCATAATGACAAAGTGAAAGCAGGTTTTTAGAAATTGTTGCAAATGTATAAAAAATAAAAAACCTTATTTACATAAGTATTCAGACCCTTTGTATGAGACTCGAAATTGAGCTCAGGTGCATCCTGTTTCCATTGATCATCCTTGAGATGTTTCTACAACTTGATTGGAGTACACCTGTGGTAAATTCAATTGATTGGACATGATTTGGAAAGGCACACACTTGTCTATATAAGGTCCCAGAGTTGGCAGTGCATGTCAGAGCAAAAACCAAGCCATGAAGTCGAAGGAATTGTCCGTAGAGCTCCAAGACAGGATTATGTCGATGCACAGATCTGGGGAAGGGTACCAAAAAATGTCTGCAGCATTGAAGGTCCCCAAGAATACAGTGGCCTCCGTCATTCTTAAATGGAAGAAGTTTGGAACCACCAACACTCTTCCTAGAGCTGGCCTCCGGCCAAACTGAGCAATCGGGGGAGAAGATTACTGACATGGTTACTCTGCAGAGCTCCAGAGTTCCTCTGTGGAGATGGGAGAGCCTTCCAGAAGGACAACCATCTCTGCAGCATTACACCAATCAGGCCTTTATGGTAGAGTGGCCAAACGGAAGCCACTCCTTAGGAAAAGGCACATGACAGCCCGCTTGGAGTTTGCCAAAATGCACCTAAAGGACTATCAGACCATGAGAAACAAGATTCTCTGGTCTGATGAAACCAAGATTGAACTCTGGCCTGAATGCCAAGCGTCACGTCTGGAGGAAACCAGGCACCGCTCATCACCTGGCCAATACCATCCCTACGGTGAAGCATGGTGGTGGCAGCATCATGCTGTGAGGATGTTTTTCAGCGGCAGGGACTGGGAGACTAGTCAGGATCGAGGGAAAGATGAACGGAGCAAAGTACAGAGAGATCCTTGATGAAAACCTGCTCCAGAGCCAAGACAACGCAGGAGTGGCTTTGGGACAAGTCTCTGAATGTCCTTGAGTGGCCCAGCCAGAGCCCGGACTTGAACCCGATCGAACATCTCTGGAGAGACCTGAAAATAGCTGTGCAGCGACGCTCCCCATCCAACCTGACAGAGCTTGAGAGGATCAGCAGAGAAGAATGGGAGAAACCCCCCAAATACAGGTGTGCCAAGCTTGTAGCGTCATACGCAAGCAGACTCCAGGCTGTAATCGCTGCCAAAGGTGCTTCAACAAAGTACAGAGTAAAGGATCTGAATACTTATGTAAATGTGATATTTCAGTGTTTTATTTGTAATACATTTTTGCTTTGTCATTATGGGGTATTGTGTGTATATTGAGGAGGGGAAAAAACGATTTAATCCATTTTAGAATAAAGCGGTAACGTAACAAAGTGAAGGGATCTGAATACTTAGCCTTCACTTGTTTGTGTGTATCCTGTATACAGTGGGGAAAACAAGTATTTAGTCAGCCAGCAATTGTGCAAGTTCTCCCACTTAAAAAGATGAGAGAGGCCTGTAATTTTCATCATAGGTACACGTCGACTATGACAGACAAAATGAGAAAATAAAATCCAGAAAATCACATTGTAGGATTTTTAATGAATTTATTTGCAAATTATGGTGGAAAATAAGTATTTGGTCAATAACAAAAGTTTCTCAATACTTTGTTATATACCCTTTGTTGGCAATGACACAGGTCAAACGTTTTCTGTAAGTCTTCACAAGGTTTTCACACACTGTTGCTGGTATTTTGGCCAATTCCTCCATGCAGATCTCCTCTAGAGCATTGATGTTTTGGGGCTGTCGCTGGGCAACACGGACGTTCAACTCCCTCCAAAGATTTTCTATGGGGTTGAGATCTGGAGACTGGCTAGGCCACTCCAGGACATTGAAATGCTTCTTACGAAGCCACTCCTTCGTTGCCTGGGCAGTGTGTTTGGGATCATTGTCATGCTGAAAGACCCAGCCACGTTTCATCTTTAATGCCCTTGCTGATGGAAGGAGGTTTTCACTCAAAATCTCACGATACATGGCCCCATTCATTCTTTCCTTTACACAGATCAGTCGTCCTGGTCCCTTTGCAGAAAAAAAGCCCCAAAGCATGATGTTTCCACCCCCATGCTTCACAGTAGGTATGGTGTTCTTTGGATGCAACTCAGCATTCTTTGTCCTCCAAACACGACGAGTTGAGTTTTTACCAAAAAGTTATATTTTGGTTTCATCTGACCATATGACATTCTCCCAATCCTCTTCTGGATCATCCAAATGCACTCTAGCAAACTTCAGGCGGGCCTGGACATGTACTGGCTTAAGCAGGGGGACACGTCTGGCACTGCAGGATTTGAGTCCCTGGCGGCGTAGTGTGTTACTGATGGTAGGCTTTGTTACTTTGGTCCCAGCTCTTTGCAGGTCATTCACTAGGTTCCCCCGTGTGGTTCTGGGAGTTTTGCTCACTGTTCTTGTGATCATTTTGACCCCACGGGGTGAGATCTTGTGTGGAGCCCCAGATCGAGGGAGATTATCAGTGGTCTTGTATGTCTTCCATTTCCTAATAATTGCTCCCACAGTTGATTTCTTCAAACCAAGCTGCTTACCTATTGCAGATTCAGTCTTCCCAGCCTGGTGCAGGTCTACAATTTTGTTTCTGGTGTCCTTTGACAGCTCTTTGGTCTTGGCCATAGTGGAGTTTGGAGTGTGACTGTTTGAGGTTGTGGACAGGTGTCTTTTATACTGATAACAAGTTCAAACAGGTGCCATTAATACAGGTAACGAGTGGAGGACAGAGGAGCCTCTTAAAGAAGAAGTTACAGGTCTGTGAGAGCCAGAAATCTTGCTTGTTTGTAGGTGACCAAATACTTATTTTCCACCATAATTTGCAAATAAATTCATAAAAAATCCTACAATGTGATTTTCTGGATATTTTTTTCTCAATTTGTCTGTCATAGTTGACGTGTACCTATGATGAAAATTACAGGCCTCTCATCTTTTTAAGTGGGAGAACTTGCACAATTGGTGGCTGACTAAATACTTTTTTTCCCCACTGTACATATTTGCGGAAGTGTCATGTGGGTGTGGGTATTTCGGTGTGTGCTTCTGCATATAGAGTAACAGTCAAAAGTTTGGACACACCTACTCATTCAAGGGTTTTTCTTTATTTTTACAATTTTCTACATTGTAGAATAATAGTGAAGACATCAAAACTATGAAAAATATTTTAGATTTTATATTCTTCAAAGTAGCCACCCTTTGCCTTGATGACAGCTTTGCACACTCTTGGCATTCGCTCAACCAGCTTAATGAGGAATGCTTTTCCAACAGTCTTGAAGGAGGTCCCACATATGCTGAGCACTAGTTGGCTGCTTTTCCTTCACTCTGCCGTCCAACTCATCCCAAACCATCTCAGTTGGGTTGAGGTCAGGTGATTGTGGAGGCCAGGTCATCTGATGCCGCACCATCACTCTCCTTCTTGGTCAAATAGCCCTTACACAGCCTGGAGGTGTGTTTTGGGTCATTGTCCTGTTGTAAAACAAATGATAGTCCCACTAAGCGCAAACCAGATGGGATGGCGTATCGCTGCAGAATGCTATGGTAGCCATGCTGGTTAAGTGTGCCTTGAATTCTAAATAAATCACAGATAGTAACACCAGCAAAGCACCCCCACACCATCACACCTCCTCCTCCATGCTTCACGGTGGGAACCACACACGCGGAGATCATCCGTTCACCTACTCTGCGTCTCACAAAGACACAGCGGTTGGAACCAAAAATCTCAAATTTGGACTCATCAGACCAAAGGACAGATTTCCACCGGTCTAATGTCCATTGCTCGTGTTTCTTGGCCCAAGCAAGTCTCTTCTTCTTATTGGTGTCCTTTAGTAGTGGTTTCTTTCCAGCAATTCGACCATGAAGGCCTGATTCACGCAGTCTCCTCTGAACAGTTGATGTTGAGATGTGTCTGTTACTTGAACTCTGTGAAGCATTTAAGGTGCAATCTGAGGTGCAGTTAACTCTAATGAACTTATCTTCTGCAGCAGAGGTAACTCTGGGTCTTCCTTTCCTGTGACGGTCCTCATGAGAGCCAGTTTCATCATAACGCTTGATGGTTTTTGCGACTGCACTTAAAAAAACTTTAAAAGTTCTTGACATGTTCCAGATTGACTGACCTTCATGTCTTCAAGTAATGATGGACTGTCGTTTCTCTTTGCTTATTTGAGCTGTTCTTGCCATAATATGGACTTGGTATTTTAACAAATAGGGCTATCTTCTGTATACCACCCCTACCTTGTCACAACACAAACTCATTAAGAAGGAAAGAAATTCCACAAATTAACTTTTAACAAGGCACACCTGTTAATTGAAATGCATTCCAGGTGACTACCTCATGAAGCTGGTTGAGAGAATGCCAAGAGTGTGCAAAGCTGTCATCAAGGCAAAGGGTAGCTATTTGAAGAATCTAAAATCTAAAATATATTTTGATTTGTTTAACACTTATTTGGTTACTACATGATTCCATATGTGTTATTTCATAGTTTTGATGTCTTCACTATTATTCTACAATGTAGAAAATAGTAAAAATAAAGAAAAATCCTTGAATGAGTAGGTGTGTCCAAACTATTGACTGGTATTGTATATATTAGAATTCTCCTCATACATGACCATAAAACCTTTTACTTTCTTTTATCAGAGGCGAAGCCCCCTGAGACAAGAAAGGGTAGTGTAACAAAAAGGATTGTAGTGAAGTGACTGTATGAATGCACAAATGTATCAATGCGTGTGTGTGTATTTGTATGAACGAGCATGTATGCCAGTGTCATCATGGGTAAGCCTATGTATTTTTGTATGTCTTGTTTTTATGATCTAGTATTTCATATATTCACATATCCACATCTCTGCACATCGTGCGGTGCAACTTTTTTCTCCAGTCACAGACTCAGTACACAGGGACAGTATATTTGGTTGTTGTTTAACCCTTCGCTGTCCGCAGTACTAATGTCTATGTACCAATTGTTTCTTTTCATTCAGAGGGAAGTGAGGGCGGAGATGGTAAGGAAAGGAAACAATACACAACTACCCCTCTGTGTTTGTGTGCTTCCCTGCTTCTTGTCAATCACCTGGTTAACGTGCATGTCTGTCAGTCTCAGTCACGGCACGGTCTGTTGGTGTGTCGGAGACCTGAGTGTCCGTCACGGTGGACTGACAAACGGAGACTACTGAATCCTGGGATTGCTCTGGCGAAGGCCTTCATAGTCTGACTGTAGCAGTACAGACCATTGTATAGGGCAGTCAGTAATGGAAGAGATCCTGCAGGCCTATTTTATGGGTTTATGGATACTGTATCATTTATGTAGAGATCTTTAGGAATCATCTGTTGGTAAGTTAGACCCAGAGAATCAGTCTGACAGATAGCTGTTCAGATATCAGCGCCGACTGATACTAATTACTAGAGATCAGGGGTGAGTTTCCCAAAAACATAAAGATCATATTGGCAAAATGCCAGAATGGCATAAAGATCATCATTTTTCTATTGCTCATGAATGGATTTAAGATTATCTTTAGTGCTAAATATGATCTTTATGTTTTTGGGAAACTCACCCCTGATCTGTTGAGATTAGACATTACATGATACAGTATCATGGTTTCGCCAAAGCATCCAAGTGAAGGAATTGTATTAAACATCAAATGACCTTGACTTGAAATTGATGCAGAGTGAAAGCATCATCTAAATTACAAATTACAAAATGATATATACTGTATATATTTACTCTGGGTATATATCGTGACGTGTGTATTTGTGCACTTACTAAGTTAATGGTTTAATAGAAGGATAAGTTGATGACAAGTTTTGCTGTTTTTTGTTGGGTTAGTTCAAATACTGTTCCTGCACAATACCATATCCCTTATCATTCATCACTGTAAGTACTGTATTGCAAAATATGTTGATCTGAAATATCAAGGTATTATCTGTTCCTGAAGTGTTACAGTAATAATGAATTAAGTGATATTTACCTGCAGTAATATTTCCTATAATACGCATTATCCCCCATAATAATCTGACTGAAGAATTTGGATGGTTTTGATGGTTGCCGGTTCTGCTGTTCCATTTTAAGGTGTTGTATATCGCTGCACTCCCAACCTCTCACAGTTTCAAACCGCAGTGAGTTTCCAATGTGAGAGCGATATGGTGTAAAGAGCTGAAGGCAAAGTGTCCCTTGGGTGCTGTTCCAGGATCAGCTTGACTTACTCACATTGTAACTGAAACGATTTAAATCACACTACAGAACTGAGCCTGGATCTGTGCACAGGGGTCACTTGATTCCAATAAAATTAACTGAGCCCATAAAAGCAGAGAGAGGGTCATAGGCGGTGTGACTCTCTGAGTTTATGGAGGTGCATGACCTCACTTGACTCCTGACCCTTGTTCCATTCTCTCGACAACCTTTTCACCCGATGGATGCTCACCCGGGGTCCTACTCACTCTACTCGATTGGTCAATCGATATGGCTTTTTACTTACTTCTCTATGCTTATAAACTCTCTTTTTCCGTAGAGCTCTTGTCAGATTCAGAAGGTGAGAGAACAAATAGATTGTTTTCCGTTTGCATCGTTAATAATTCCCCTAAATTCTCAATAATAGTAATGATGAGTACAGTGTTACCAACTGGTTTGAAGTTTGAATTTGACGACTGAGGAAATAACTCATTAACCGTTTAGTTTTTACCTCAATTTTGAAAAGAAAGGAAATGTTCATCCAAGTTAGAGAGAGAAGAGAGAGAAGTTTTGTGTGTGTGAGAGAGAGCACCTGCAGGTCAGGTTTTCATAACTGCTCAGTAGACGCTCATCTTTCAGATTACAGTAAAGATACTGTAGCTAATGTGTTCCCTCGCTGTGTTTCTCTCTCTTTCTTCCTGAAACAGAATTGCCTGATGATGGTAAGACAAACAAATACTTAAGCTTGTATTTGTCTCTCTGCTGACACAAAACAATGCAATCCTTTTTTGAAAAGGAGGGAGCACGTAAAGGAACAGGAGCAAGCAGTCATGCTTTGATAATATCACAACATTAAAGAGCTATATTTACTTTTGTCAAAGTGGGAGATGACTAGTGGAAAGGGATGGATAAACATGTCTTCATATGTGTTTTTAGTTCCTTGTTCATTCCCTGGAGGGCTTACCTTACTGCTGTTAGAGGCCCTCTTCTGGTTTTGACTAGACGCTTGGATACTGACCCTCAGTTAAATACAAGACTGATGTCATGTGACATGATTTCTCATGATCACCCATTATAATAGCGGAGACATTTCAGGGAGTGGAAACATTTGCTGCAGCACTTTTCTCTGTCTTTGGGAAAAGCTGTTGCTAAATGTGGATACAAGAAGTCTCAATAAGTCACAGGGTGAACAAAGGCAAGCTTTACCTCTGACCTTTGATGTTGCTGCCTAGTAGACAAAATATAAATAAATTAATGGATGAAAGAACAACAAGATAGAGGGATTTATAAACAAAGGTTAGATGCTTTGGTCTAATGTTTGTTCTACTGTCTCTATTTGTCTGTTTACTGATGTTGTTGTGTCTATGATGTCTGATGAGCAGTCATCCATGACATTGTTCTAACCCCTGACATCTATGACCTCTTCCTATTTTTAGAGACTGTCCCAGGGGGGCAGTCCGAGCTGACCGGACTATTTGTAGAGAGGCCAGAGAGCACTACAGTAATCAAAGGTGAGACCCCGGCCCTCTTCCCCCTCTCTGAGACATACTGTAGCTCTCTGAAGTTTGGATTGACACTCACATACGGATCATGCATAAGAATCCTAACAACACCAGTATCTAGAGGTTAGAATTGCTGACTGTTGATGTAAATTGTGGGTGGCAGGGAAGAACGTCACCTTTGTGGCTAAAGTGGACTCATCTGACCTGCTGAGGAAGCCCAACATGAAATGGCTGAAAGGGAAGTGGCTGGACCTGGGTAGCAAGGCCGGCAAGCATGTGCAGTTTAAAGAGGCCTATGACAGGAACTCAAAGGTGTGTGTGTATCACTGTTTTCACATTCTCTCAAATCTGAAAGTCTACTGTACATCTGTGTTACTCTTTTGTGTGTGTACCGTGTGTACCGTGTGTGTGTGTGTGCACCGTGTGTGTGCGTGTATATATTGTAAGGGTGTATGTCTTCCTCTCTCACCATCTCAACCAGGTCTACACATATGAGATGAGCATCATAAAAGTAGTGGAAGGAGATGCAGGTGGCTACCGCTGTGAGGTCACCTCCAAAGACAAGTGTGACAGCTGTACATTTGAAGTCACAGTGGAAGGTGGGTCCCTCCCAGGCCATCATTGTCAGCCATTTAGTTAGTGTATCTGTCACTTAACCTGTGGTCAGTGAGTGTGTCAGTAAGTCATTCAATATTTGATACAGTATGTATAATGATGTGGCAGGTAGATGTTATTCAGTGTCAGTACTCAGTCCATTATTCATCCAGATTTTTCAACTGTCTGTCAGTTAGTCCAGTGCTCCTATCACCGTTCCCTCTCTCTGTCATGTTTCAGCCGTACAAGAGGAGCAGCCCGCCAACATCCTGGATGCCTTCAAGCGATCGTGAGTGTCACTGTCAGGGTGGTTCCATTCAACATATCATCTGTCATTCTCTCCCACCTCACATATGTTGGTTATTCTCTCTATCTTTGCCTCTGGGCATCTGTCCCTCTCTGTGAGTATATATTCCCCTGACTGTCTTTCTGGCTCCCATATCTGTGTTTGTAGGTGTCTATGGTGTCTGTGTGTTTTGGCTTCACTATATGTCTGTCATTGTACTATACATCTGCCTTTTCTTTATGTCTTTATCTGTACATTCATGTCTATTTGTGTATCTGTCACTTACTGGTGTGTATCTGTCACTTACTGGTGTGTCTCTGTGACTTACTGGTGTGTCTCTGTGACTTACTGGTGTGTCTCTGTGACTTACTGGTGTGTCTCTGTGACTTACTGGTGTGTCTCTGTGACTTACTGGTGTGTCTCTGTGACTTATTGTTGTGTCTCTGTGACTTACTGGTGTGTCTCTGTGACTTACTGGTGTGTCTCTGTGACTTACTGGTGTGTCTCTGTGACTTACTGTTGTGTCTCTGTGACTTACTGGTGTGTCTCTGTGACTAACTTGTATGTTTGTTTGTGTGTCAGTTGTACATTATGTGACCATGTGTTTCTATTTCTGTGTCTGTTCAGTATGTATATCCCTGTATGTCTGTATCTCTGTATTCGGGTGTCTTCTCTTCCCTGTCTCCAAAGACTTGTGTTTCAGTATGTGTGCAGCAGCTCTGTCTCTCGCTGTAAAGCTGTAGAAAATCCCTCTGTTTGTTGGCATGGTGCTGCCGCCAGTCAGTTTTCAAATATGATTTCCTCTCCTAATAAGACAAAAAGCAAGGGTAAGAAAGGAAACACAACGTTCAAAGGACCATTTCATATTGTGTTTTTGTGTTTATTTTGTGAATTTCTGTAAAAAAAAAAATAAAAAAAATGAAAAGATATGAAAAAAGAGATGAGATACAAGCGTGAATTAAAGCTTGAAAACCCAAGACGCCAAATAACCTTCCACACCACAAAGGTTGTTGGATGGGTTAGTGTTGACCTTGCCACAGTATGTGGCGGTCTTTGCGTTCCAACTCCCACTGTCAGTAAGTATGGAGAATCCAGTCATTGCGATTCATCCGTGTGTACCCCCATCCTCCTCCTCAGCGATTCCGCATCTGGCCTTGCTGCCTCTCTGTTATAAGGCAGCCTTGTCCTAAGCTTCTTCCAGAACCTGAATCCATTGTGTGTGTTCAGAATCCATTCTTTGGGATTATCTTCGTGTGCTTCCATATTCCCACCTTTGGAATTCTTCATCTGTCCACTGTGTGTGTTCAGATCTGAAATAGCCCTTGCTTCCCCTCATGTGTTCTTTGTCATGTGAGGCTATTTCTGGTACTGTATGTCTGTCTGAGTGTGGCCCTTTGAAAAGGCCTCAAGTGGAACTAGTGGCATACATTAGAGATGCAATCATGAGGTGTCATATGTGTGGATCTTTATGTGAGTGGAAGAAAAGTGCTGTGTGGGTGTGTATCAGCAGTACCTGTGTGTTCCACCTGTGTGTGTGTGTGTGTGTGTTATGTGTACATTTACACAGTATCTACTGTGTATATATGTGTCAATGTACAGCCTTGTACATGTACAGTGTATCGGTGTTTGGGTTACATTCAGTATTGACCTCTATTTGTTACTGTGTGTTCAAATGTGTGTGTGTGTGTGTACACTAGTATGCTGGTTTTTATGTCCCATTGAATTTAGGCGGGTAAAGTGTCAGTATGCACTTATTCATCCCACTATGCTCTATATGCTCACTCATTACCATCCTGTTTTGTGTTATCAGAGGCATAAAAGGCGCCAAAAAAGGGTAAGCCATGGCTACAGACACTGTGCGATACTGTGCGATCACAGTGTACTGTCTGTATATTTGTGTGTATATGGGAATTCCGTCCCTGTTTTTATGACTTTTATATCAATACTATATCGTTGATGTGTCTTTACGTTAGAGAAAGTGAATGTGTGTGTGTGTGTGTGTGTGTGTGTGTATGTTCGTTCGTCTTTGCACAGTGTAGTGTAGTACCATCTACTGTATGTCCAGTAACATTCTTTCTCTTCCCTGTCCTCTTCCATATTTTTGTAAACCAACAATGATTCACCACTATAGCATTGAAATAGCACAGATATTCATTGTTGATTGATCATAAGTAAAACCTTAGTATACAACATGTATATTTGTATGTACAGTATACTGTATATTATTTTTGAAATGAGCGACTCCTCTAACCTGACCTGACCTAACACTGTAGGAAACCTAATTCTCCCACTCGTACCCTTTCTTGTCCCCAGGGGAGATGCAGGAGAGGATGCAGGTGACCTGGACTTCAGTGCCCTCCTCAAAAAAAGGTAGGAGTGGAGTTAACTCCATTATGAGCAATCACACATACTCTCACACTCTCACACAATCAATCTCCTCTCCCCCTCTCTTTCAGGGAAAAAAAGGTGAGGGACGAGCCCAAAGAGGAAGTGGATGTGTGGGAGATCCTGAAGGATGCTAAGCCATGTGACTATGAGAAGATCGCCTTTGACTACGGCATCACAGACCTCAGGGGCCTGCTCAAGAGACTGAAGAAGATGAAGAAGGTGGAACCCAAGAAGAGTGACGGTGAGGGGAGAGAAAGAGGGGAGGGGGGAGAGAGAGATACTGGAGGAGGAAGTAGGCAAGCCGTGGGCATTTATACTTGAGTGTTTGGGAAAGGGAATGCAGTACTATAGTGAATGCCCGAGGGGCTCTATAAGGGAAGTAGTCTGGTGTATTGTGTTGCTGGGGTTATTCTGGTTGTTGTGTCTGGTGTGTAAAGGCTGGAGACATAACAGTGGTTCTTTCCCGTCACTCAGCCTTCCTGAAGAAGCTAGAGCAGTGTTACTCCGTGGACAAGGGCAAGAGGACCCAGATGCATGTTGAGCTCCATGACCCCAACGCTCAGGTCAAATGGCTGAAGAACGGAGTGGAGATCAAACCCTCCGCCAAGTGAGACAGGCTGCTTTGTGTGTGTGTGTGTGTGTGTGTGTGTGTGTGTGTGTGTGTGTGAACATGCGTGATTGTCAGTATATTTGACTATATGAGTGTGAGTCATTCATTTGTCGATGGGTTGAGTGAGCGACACTCGATCACTAGTGTCTCTGTCTGTCCTCTCTGTTTTCTGCCAGTGTCTCTCTCTGCCCTGTCTGTCTGTCATGTCAGGTATGTGTTTGAGTGCGTGGGCAACAAACGGACACTCACCATCAACAAGTGCAACCTGTCTGATGATGCAGCCTATGAGTGTGTGGTGGGAGAGGAGAAGAGCTTCACGGAAGTCTTTGTCAAAGGTAAACACTCAGCATCTTGACATGAGGGGAGGGAGTTGTTCCCTGCTTAGTTCAGTGTCTTTGAGTGTGTAGTGTCTGTCAACATTTACTGTGTATGCAGTATATGTGTAAATGTTTGTATGTGTGTATTAATGTCTATGAACAGTATGTCTGTACAACGTTGTCGTCCTATATTTGTTGTCCAGTTTGTAGCGTGTCTTATGCGTGTTCTGTGTGTCTCGTTGATTTTGGGTAGAGGGGCAAGGATGCATTTGCTCTCAATCATCATGTGCTTTGCTCTCTCTCTGTGCCCACTTATTTCATCCTGTTTTTGCATTATCAGACCCTACAGCAACGGGTAAGCTTTCACCACACAGACACCATTCCAGTGCGACCACCACAGTGTACTGTATGTTGTTGTGGTTATTTAGACGTCCCTGTTGCTTCTGTCAGTGTCTATATCAATGCCGTACATGTTGATGTATCTTAACGTGAGAGAAGGTGTACGTGTGTGTAGCGGATGGCAGCTAGTGGAAGCTAGCTTAGCATCGATCGCACAGTTCAGTCACCTTCCGGAGACCTGAAGTACTGTCGCCCCCCCCCCCCGCACCAAAAAGCATCCAGGGCTTTTGTGGTATAGCGGTTTTGGCGGAAACTTCTGAGTACGTTGTTGTGTTGTTGTTGTGAGCATGGTACTGTATGGAATCCCGCGGCGGACGGTACATGTTACAGTGGTGCCGTGACTCAGATCCCAGAGTTGATGTCTATCATCTGCTGAGGTTGCTGCGGAAAAGGAGGAGGTCAGAGGGAGGTGGATGTAGAGGATGGCAGCTAACGGATGCTAGCTTAGCATCACACATTGACACAATGATGATGATGTCACCTTCCCGGAGACCTGAGGTAGTGTCTCCCCCGTAACACAACAGCTCAGTTTTCTGTTTCTATAGCAGTATTAACGGAGACTATGGAGTACATTGTGTTGTTGTGAAACATGGTATCGAATCCTGGAGCGGACTGGTACATGTTACGTGTGCGTGTCTTTGTGTTAGCACAGTATACAGTGCTGTGCCATGAAATGTTCAGCTTCATCATTCTTCCACTTCTTCTGCCTTATTCTTCTGCTTACTTTGGTGTTGAGTTTTCCTGTAAGTGTGGTTGTGTGTGTTTGTGTGTGTGTGTGTGTGTGTGTGTGTGTGTAACTGCCCCCTGGTGTTTTTGTATGAGGTGTATGAGTTGTGTTGACGTCTGTGTCTCCACAGAGCCCCCGATCACCATCACCAAGCTGCTGGACGACGTGCACGTAGTGGTGGGAGAGAAGGTGGAGTTTGAGTGTGAGGTGTCAGAGGAAGGAGCCAACGTCAAATGGTGAGGGACTCATACTAATACCCTTTTTAGTCAAATGACTAAGTAACTAATCAATCAATCTATCTATCAATCTCTGTTACAGCTCTAGCATTTGTGTGTGTATGTGTCTCTCACAACTGTTAAACACTGTCTGTGTGTGTCTCACCCGTTCTCAGGATGAAAGATGGAGTTGAGCTGACCAAGGATGGGAAGTACAGGATAAAGAAGGATGGGAAGAAACACACTCTGGTCATCAGTGAAGCAACCATAGAGGACATCGGAATGTACTATGTTTACACTAACGGGGGAGAATCCAAAGGAGAACTGGAAGTGGAAGGTACCACTTCCAGATATCATACAGTATACTAAAAAAGTAAATTTTTTATTAACTTCATTTTCGGAAGAGTCCGAAATGCTGTCTCTTTCTGCTTTCTTTTCTGTCTCTTTCCCTCTCCTTCCCTTCATCTCTGCCCCTGGTGCTCAGCCAAGGAGCTGGAGGTTCTGCAGAGTATAGCTGACCTGTCGGTGAAGGCGTGTGAACAGGCAGTGTTCAAGTGTGAGGTGTCTGATGAGAAGGTGGTGGGCAAGTGGTTCAAGGACGGTGTGGAGGTCAAACCCGGCAACCGCATCAAGATGTCACACATCGGAAGGTATGGCGTCACATTGCTGGGGCTTTGGGGGGGTCATTGAGTTTCAATAACTTCAGACAGGCTTGAACATCCTCAAATTCTCCTTCTCCATGGGACCTTGTCAGTACAGTACATATTCTCACTAGCTAGACCCACCTATGGCAGGTGTTTTTACTATGGCAACACTGGCCATGCAGGGAGAGAGCTTTCCCATGCGTTTTATGACTTGATTTTGCATTATGGAACATGTTGCAAGGGTAACTGTGCTTTGCATAATTGTGGGTCACTGCGAGTGTCTGTTGTCTCCTTGGTAATGTTGGGTTGCCGTTTGTTCTCCAGGATCCACAAGCTGACGATTGATGACGTGAAGCCACAGGACGAAGGAAACTACACCTTTGTCCCTGAAGGATACGCACTCTCCCTCTCCGCTAAACTCAACTTCATTGGTGAGAGAGAGAGAGACTCTCCTAAGTTTTACTGAGTACAATGAAGCAGAGCCTACATTTAAATGATACTGATTCATGTGTTTTCCCTGTTTCCCTCAGAAATCAAGATTGACTATGTTCCACGCCAAGGTAGGTGTGGCTATTGTCTCCTATCATCCGTTGGCATTACCTATTTATTACACTGTATTTAATACTGTGATAATCACCCAGGACCACCCGTCCCTCACTGACATTCCTCTGCCCCTCACAGACCCTCCCAAAATCCACCTGGACACCAGTAGCACGGGCAGCAAGAACACTATTGTTGTGGTGGCTGGCAACAAGCTCCGCCTTGATGTGGAGATCACAGGAGAGCCTGTCCCCACCGTGTGTTGGATGAAAGGAGACACTGTGAGGATCTTTCTGTTACATCCTCCTCACACACACACATCAAACCCCTGCCCCAGCATGCCTCTCTAAGGAAGGGGGGCATCAAAGGCAGGGTGTCACTCACATTAACCAACCGATTAGGCCATGCAAGACTCTGAGAGAAAGATGAAATAGTGTGTCCAGGTTACACCCAGTAGCTGAATCACCAGACAGTGTCAGTCCAGTAGTCTAAGTGCCCTCCCTGTTCCTGTCTCTAGGTGATATCGGAGGCGGAGGGCAGAGTGAGGGTGGAGACCAGGACCACTCTGAGCAGCTTTGTCATTGAGGGGGCGGAGAGGCCAGACGAGGGCCGGTACTCCATCATAGTGACCAACCCAGCCGGAGAGGACAGGGCTGAGCTCACCGTCAAGATCGTTGGTCAGTGGTACTCAATTCAATTCAATTTAAGGGCTTTATTGGCATGGGAAACATGTGTTAACATTGCCAAAGCAAGTGAAGTAGATAGTAAACAAAAGTGAAATAAACAATAAATATTAACAGTAAACATTACACTCAGAAGTTTCAAAAGAATAAAGACATTTCAAATGTCATATTATGTATATATACAGTGTTGTAACAATGTGCAAATAGTTAAAGTACAAATGGGAAAATAAATAAACATAAATATGGGTTGTATTTACAATGGTGTTTGTACTTCACTGGTTGCCCTTTTCTTGTGGCAACAGGTCACTAATCTTGCAGCTGTGATGGCACACTGTGGTTTTTCACCCAGTAGATAAGGGAGTTTATCAAAATTGGGTTTGTTTTCAAATTCTTTGTGGATCGCTGTAATCTGAGGGAAATATGTGTCTCTAATATGGTCATACATTTGGCAGGAGGTTAGGAAGTACTCTCTCTCTCCTCTCTCTTTCCAGTCTTCTACTCTCCCCTCTTCACTTCTGTCCCCTTGCCTTTCCTGCTCTCCTCTTTCCCCCACATCTCCCTGCTCTCTCATTTTTCTCTATATATTATTTGTTCTCCCCCTCTTATGCAATAGAGGTAAACATATATTTAAAAACAATTCAGTAAGAGTGATTCAATAATAGATGTGACATTAATTTATATTAAGTTAGAACCCATTCTGAGCTGGTGAGAACATAGCCACCCCTATGTCCTGTCCTGACTGTTTCTCCTGTCCCCTCCAGATGTGCCTAACCCTCCAGAGAACGTCAGGTGTATGGGAGTTGGCGAGGACACAGCCACCATTACATGGGATCCCCCCAAATTTGATGGGGGTTCGCCCGTCAAAGGTGCATCTTTCCTATTTTTACATCTATCTATTAAGCTATCAATCTCTCTTTTCTCATGCTATCTGTTAATCTCTCTCTCATTACATTGGTCAAATCTAATGATATCGCTCTGTGATGATGTCGCTCTATGATAATGTAATCTCGCTCTGTGATGATGTCACTCTGATGATGTCAGTCTGTAATGATGTAATGTTGCTCTGTGATGACATCACTCACAGGCTACCTGATGGAGAGGAAGAAGCAGGGTTCCTCCAGGTGGACCAAGCTGAACTTTGAGGTGTTTGAGTCAACCACGTACGAGGCTAAGAAGATGATTGAGGGTGTTTTTTATGAGATGAGGGTGTTTGCTGTCAATGGGATCGGCATCTCCCAGCCCAGCGGCAACTCCAAGCCCTTCATGCCCATCGGTGGGTAGACACTTATTACTAGAGCAGTGGAGAGGCGCCTTTCAATCTCCAGATACTCTACTTATACAGTTTACCTCTTTCTTCCTCTCCTTTTATCTATTCTCTCTCTGTCTCTGTCTCTCAGCCCCTACCAGTGAGCCCACTCGTCTGACGGTGGAGGATGTGACAGACAGCACCTGTGCCCTGAAGTGGCGTCCACCAGAGAGGGTTGGAGCAGGGGGCGTTGACGGGTACATAATCGAGTGGTGCAAAGAAGGAGGTGAAGGAGGATTTTGGGGTTGCTGAATAATATTATTATTCCTTCTAATTCACTAATCTCTCCCATAGAATTCCTCTATAGAATTCCTATAAAACTCTATAGATAAACCATCTCATTTCTAAGTGGATGATAATGAATGCTCTTCTGCTATTGGTCCATTCCTTAGAGGATAACTGGGTGGTGGCCAATAAGGAGCCAGTGGACAAGAACACGTACCGTGTGAAGGGGCTGCCAACAGGAGAGAAGCTCTTGTTCAGAGTGGTGGCTATGAATATCGCTGGACGCAGCCCCCCCTGCACCTTGAAACAGTCTGTCACCATCAGAGAGATCATGGGTCAGACTCAAACGCTTGCATGGACGCACGCACACACACACTTCTCCATAGACCTCTGACACACACAGTAAACACACCCACTTCCATGACTTCTATGTTGACATTCCTCTCTGTCTCCCTCCATGTCTCAGAGTACCCAAAGATCCGCCTGCCTCGCCAGCTAAGAACCAAGTTCATCAGGAAAGTGGGCGAGAAGATCAACTTGGTCATCCCCTTCCAGGTCTGAGAACAGCCAGCACCACACAGCAGTAACCTTCCCCGGGCTAGAGACAGGGCTGACTTCATGTTAGCTGGGTCTCAGTGTGTGAAAAGAAGAGCAAACATTGTCCTGTAATGCCAAAACTAAACAGTCAGAAAATGAGATATTCTTGCCAGTCAACACCGTTCTCACTTTTGGGTGTTCCTCCTCCACTTCTCCTGTAGCAGCGTCTCACTCTTTAATTCAGTAAATCTTTTTCCCCCCAGGGGAAGCCTCGCCCCGTGGTCAACTGGTTGAAAGACGGTGAGCCCCTGGAGAATAAGTCGGTGGGCATCCGCACCAGTGACTTTGACACCATCCTGTTCATCCGCTCGGCAGAAAGGGACCACTCTGGGAAGTACACCCTGTCTGTCCAGATAGACAACATGCAGGACAAGGCTGACATACACATCCAGGTCGTAGGTCAGTCACTGGCACCAACATCATTGGGGATCTGGTCAAAAGTAGTGCACTATATAGGGAATAGGGTTCCATTTGGGATGCAAGCTATATATAACTGTATGTCTCCGCTCACCCTTCAGTGACTATACCTAGTATGTTTTACTACTTATTACAGTCAAATATGGAGCCACTATGATGCAATTACTTAAATCTAGGATGACACCCAAGAGTTTAAAATGATGATAATTCCTCATTTAATCCTCGGAGGGGATCTAAGACTCCAAAGTAGGGTGGGAATCATCAAAGAGGCTGATTCCTCTCTTCCTCTCCTCTTCTTAATTTTTCCCTCCTGCCCTGACTGCCACCGTACCTTCGCTTTGCTCCCTCCCTCCCCTCTTTCTCTCGTTCCTGCTCCTCTTAGCATCCGTGTGAGGGTCAGGGTGCTGTGTGGCTGGGTGGGGAGATTATGCGGTGGGGTTCCATTGGGATTATTGGTGTGTAGACTGGGATTAGGGTGGGATTAGGGGCCTTGGTCTCCTTTCCCCTGCTGGGAGGTGAGCTAATGAGAGGGCCAGCCTCTTCAGATCAGCCCCCACACACGTTTAGTCACAGCAGCAGCAGCACGGCAGAGACCAGGATTAATGACAAACATCCTGGAGTACTGACGTACATGAGACACACTCCACATGCTCCATTTTTGTTGTCTGTTAAAAGAGATCTCTCTCTCTCTCTGACACACAGATGTACTTCCTCCTTCCTACTTTATCCTCCTTTCCTCTCGCTCTCTCTCTCTCTCTCTCTCTCTCTCTCTCTCCCCCCCCCCCCCCCCCCCCACAGACAAGCCAGGTCCTCCTATAAATGTGATGGTAACAGATGTGTGGGGCTTCAACGCTGCTCTGGAGTGGAAGCCCCCCAAAGACACAGGCAACACTGATATTACCGGCTACACCATCCAGAAGGCTGACAAGAAGACCCAGGTCTCCAACTCCCTCCTCTGTCTTTCCTCATCTCTCTCTATAGCTCTCTCTTTCTATACTGTGTATCCACCTCACCTCTCCTTCTCTGCCCTCACTTCCCTCATCCTCTGTTCTCAAACATCTGCCTCTCCTTCTTTTTCAACCTCTCTACTTCTCTGTAAACATCTTCCTCTTTCTCTCTCCCTCCCTCCCTCTCCCTCTTCCTCTCCTTCTCTCTCTGGTCAGGGTTGGTTCACGGTGTATGAGCACAACCGCCGGCCCAGCTGCACAGTGTCTGACCTAGTCATGGGGAACGAGTACTCCTTCCGTGTGTTCAGTGAGAACATCTGTGGCCTGAGCGATGAGGTGGCCTTCAGCAAGAACACTGCCATCATAGGAAAAACAGGTAATACACTACAATACTACACCATACTATAGCCCCTGTGCATGCTCACGCAAACACACGCTCACAATCGCTGCGCAAATGTAGCCTGTCATTACAGCCATAAACAGTGATGCACTTTCAAAACGCAAGATATAGAAATAAACTGTGTTTTACACCAGCATTTTGAGATGAAGGTCATTCATAGCTAATAGCAGCCAATGTCAACTAGGGATATCATGTCACTTCTCTGGAGTCCAGAGCAAGCAGGATCATATGGCCTACCTGTATGTATCGGAGGTTGCAGGATCGGATGGAAACCATGGTTAGGGTAAGCACAAGCCTATAGTATGTCAATCTACAATCTACTATCCCCCATAGTACAAAAGTTCACCTATTCTATTGGTCAAATTGGCCTTCTGTGTGAGAAAGAAATATTCCAAACTTAGTCTGGGACAGTTGTGGGATGCCATAGATCCCAAATTAATACAACCACTAGCATCAGAAAACTTTTTAAAAGCAATGAGGCTGATGCAACAGATCAGAACGTTTAGTTTAAAATGTTGATAAACTATTAGGCGATTTCTTCACATTATAAGCGCAGCAATGTGCACATGACAGTAGGCTATAAGCGCGAATGTTCCAAAATGCAATCAATTAGCGGGAAAACACCATTCTCAAAAGTAACCGCAAATGAGATTATGCATGTAATGCTTTATTATAAAGGTGCATTTTTATGGTGAAAATTATCTTCTCCAAACTTGAAACTCACGCGCCCCCTATGTATGCCAGTTAGACTCTACACTGGTTGTAAAGCGGATTAATGTGCTTAATTTTAAGAAGTTATTTGGCCACTTTAGTGTGATACAAACCTTATCAAAACATATAAACCTATGGGCTAGGCTACATGAGGTGTGCTACTATGATTTTAAAATGTTGCATGCGTTTCTAGCCTTACTGCACACAACCTGGGCATCATTCACAAGTGATAATATATAATTCACAAGTGATAGGGTAATATTGTCACCCATCAGACTATTCTTGATTTAATCTTGTCTTTACATATACTAAATAATATATGTGTGAAATTTGTTTCGATTTAGAATGGACCATTATCATGCACCTCTCGAAACAGGGGTAGGGGGAAAAAATACATGTCATCTATGCTCTTAAATAGCGAATGGAGGACGCTTCACCCGTGGTTCATTTTCATGCCAGCCAGGTAGGTTATACTGTAGAAGAAATGTGCTTAATATTAGGAAAGTAGAAAACTGATGGGTTCCTCCTCTATTTAATAGAGGCCGTCAAAATGCTGTTTCCTCACGCAGTTGCTTAGCCAATAGAAATGTTGCACAACATGAGCTCATGGGCTCTCATGAAGTGCTTTGATTTTATTTTTGATCACATTTGCATTGATGTCAGCGTGGTTAGATGGACAATAGAGTGCTGAGTACCAGGCAGTTAGCAAGTTTGGTAGGCTACGAATGACCATCAGCAGCAGAGCTTGGAGAAGCCTAGTTACCATGACTAAACGGTCTTGTGGAATTTGACTGCGGTCATGACACGTGACCGCCAGTGTGGCCGTAATACGGTCACCGAAACAGCCCTAACCATGGTCTGTCTGTAGTCTTTTTCTTCCTCAAGAATATCGTAATAAATTCACCAGAATATGTTACATCTTCATCGCATAAGTATTGAAGGCAGTGCAATGTTACAGCTATCTTTAGAAATATACCCAGTACTAGCCATCCAAACTAGGCCTCTAAAGTATGAAAATTATCAATTAAATCGCCAGGTAGCCTATTGTTCTGGCAAATATGTGTTCGTAGCAGATTGCTAAACTTTATTTTATGTGGATGATTTAAACTTGTAAAATTTTAACAAGTGCTTTCTGGTCACTAATCTGGATATAAACCCACCTTTGTGTGTCAATGCTGATGACTGGTCATTGGTCAACAGTAAAGACGCGCAACTTTTTGGTTCTGAAGCATAGATAAGATGTTTTTGAGACAACAATTTGGTGCAATACTGTAGGCCTATGTTAGTAACCATTTTGAAATATAAAATTACAAATGGTATGTAGCCGATTTAAAATATGTGTGAAAAAAATATTTTTCACATTCAGTTTCAAACTCGTGACCCCCCAAAACCTTCTCGCGACCCCCCGGGGTTTTGAGACCCCCAGTTTGAGAACCACTGTACTACACCACACTACACTACACCATACTATACCAAATGTAGTATGTAGTTATAATAGATAACATGATATACCATGTGGTCCTCTGTAGCTCAGTTGGTAAAGCTAAAGCATGTCGCTTGTAATGCCAGGATAGTGAGTTCGATTCCTGGGACCCCCCAAACTTAAAATGTATGCATGGATGACTGTAAGTCCCTTTGGATAAAAGCACCTGCTAAATGGCATTTATTATTATTATTATTATTATTATTATTATTATTATTATTATTATATGGCCTGCTAAACACAGCCATCACAGTCCCCATCCATATCCACCCCCCTCCCTCAGATCTGGAGTACAACAAACCAGCCTTCAAAGAGAAGGACATGAGAGGCTCCCCCAAGTTTACAGCTCCTCTAGTGGACAGGTGTGTCGTTGCAGGCTACAGTACTGCCATCAGCTGTGCTGTCCGGGCCTACCCTAAGGTGAGGATGTGTGTGTGTGTATGTGCGTGCGGGGGGGATTTTTTTGACAATTTGAAAGTTTGCATAGAAAATAGATGCGACAATTACCTGCTAGGGTGCGTTTCCATTTAACTATCTTGTGTCGATAAAATTTTTGGTGTGACGTAATGATGTCACACCTAAAATACAAATGTAGCGGTTGAAGTGTTTCCATTACCCATTTAGGCAAATTTCACATTAATAAATTGGCAACAGCCTGTATGCCCTCCCACCTATCTGTTTCATGCTTCAGGTAGCCCGCATGAATATAATGCAATAATTGACTAATACAGTGAATTCGGAACATATTCAGACCCCTTCACTTTTTCCACTTTTTCCACATTTTGTTACATTACAGCCTTATTCTAAAATTGTTTCTTCCCCTCATCAATCTACACACAATACCCCATAATAACAAAGCAAAAACAGGTTTTTAGACATTTTTGCACATTTATTTTAAAAAAAATAACGGAAATATCACATTTACAGAAGTATTCAGACCCTTTACTCAGTACTTTGTTGAAGCACCTTTGGCAGAGATTACAGCCTCGAGTCTTCTTGGGTATGACGCTACAAGCTTGGCACACCTGTATTTGGGGAGTTTCTCCCATTCTTCTCTGCAGATCCTCTCAAGCTCTGTCAGGTTGAATGGGGAGTGTCGCTGCACAGCTATATTCAGATCTCTCCAAAGATGTTCGATCGGGTTCAAGTCCGGGATCTGGCTTGGCCACTCAAGGTCATTGAGACTTGTCCCGAAGCCACTCCTGCGTAGTCTTGGCTGTGTGCTTAGGGTCGTTGTCCTGTTGGAAGGTGAACCTTCGCCCCAGTCTGAGATCCTGTGCGCTCTGGAGCAGGTTTTTATCAAGTCCCTCTCTGTACTTTGCGCCGTTCATCCTTCTCTCGATCCTGACTAGTCTCCCAGTCCCTGCCGCTGAAAAACATCCCCACAGCATGATGCTGCCATCACCATGCTTCACCGTAGGGATGGTGCCAGGTTTTCTCCAGATGTGACGCTTGGCATTCAGGCCAAAGAGTTCAATCTTGGTTTCATCAGACCAGAGAATCTTGTTTCTCATGGTCTGAGAGTCCTTTAGGTGCCTTTTGGCAAACTCCAAGCGGGCAGTCATGTGCCTTTTACTGAGGAGTTGCTTCCTTCTGGCCACTCTACCATAAAGGCCTGATTGGTGGAGTGCTGCAGAGATGGTTGTCCTTCTGGAAGGTTCTCCCATCTCCACAGAGGAACTCTGGAGCTCTGTCAGAGTGACCATCGGGTTCTTGGTCACCTCCCTGACCATGTCCCTTCTCCCCCGATTGCTCAGTTTGGCTGGGCGGCCAGCTCTAGGAAGAGTCTTGGTGGTTCCAAACTTCTTCCATTTAAGAATGATGGAGGCCACTGTGTTCTTGGGGACCTTCAATGCTGCAGAAATGTTTTGGTACCCTTCCACAGATCTGTGCCTCGACACAATCCTGTCTCGGAGCTCTATGGACAATTCCATCGACCTCATGGCTTGTTTTTTGCTCTGACATGCACTGTCAACTGTGGGACCTTATATAGACAGGTGTGTGCCTTTACAAAATATGTCCAATCAATTGAATTTACCACAGGTGGACTCCAATCAAGTTGTAGTGTGGTGGGTGATTTGAAGGAGTCAGGCGCAGGAAGGTAAATCACAGAATACAAAGTTTATTCCGGAATACAGAGTTACGCAGGATAGCGTCAAACAGTCCAGTGCGCAAAACAGGCGCACTGGAACAAAACAGGCACACAGGGAAAATATACCCCGGCAATACAAAACACACGGAGCTCAACCGAGCTACTCTCTCCTCACATTAAACAATCACCCACAAGGACAAGGGGGCAGAGGGAACACTTATACACATACTAATGAGGGAATATGAACCAGGTGTGTGTAATAAACAAGACAAAACAAATGGAATGATGAGATGAGGAGCGGCAGTGGCTAGAAGGCCGGTGACAACGAACGCCGAAGCCTGCCCGAACAAGGAGAGGAGGCAGCTTCGGAGGAAGTCGTGACATGTGGAAACATCTCAAGGATGACCAATGGAAACAGGATGCACCTGAGCTCATTTTCGAGTCTCATAGCAAAGTCTGAATACTTATGTAAATAAGGTATTTCTGTTTGTTCTAAAAACCTGTTTTCGCTTTGTCATTATGGGGTATTGTGTGTAGATTGATGAGGATTTTTTTTTTTTTAATCCATTTTAGAATAAGACTGTAACGTAACAAAATGTGGGAAAAGTAAAGGGGTCTGAATACTTTCCGAATGCACTGTATTTGCCATATTCTAATAATTCTCATGTGCCAACGTATTGCCATGGTCCGTGCCATGGTGAAACTTGCACTCCTGTAGATCTGAAATAATTGGATGGTGAAACTTGCCAGCCAACCAGAAAAGCAAGGCTAAGCAATTCAGGCATTCCTGAAAGTCAGGACAATCCATGTGTTGCAAATAAACATTATTTTTGTACACTGAACAAAAATATAAACACAACTGAGTTGCAGTTCATATAAGGAAATCAGTCAATTGAAATTAATTCATTATGCCTGTCAGGGCGACGTGTATGCAGTGAGCGAAGTCAAGCGCAGGACACTGAGCTACTAGCAGACAAACTTTACTTTCACAGTAATCAAAATACAAACAAAACCTCCAATCAGAGAGGAACAAAATACGCATACACCCGGACACTGCCGACCTCACGGAAAACAATCACACACAATAACTAATGAGAGACAGGGCGTTATAAAGGGAATACAATGTAACATAATGGGAAACAGGTGAAAACAATCAGGACAAACTAGACAAACACCGAAACATAGATCGGTGGCAGCTAGTACTCCCGAGCAAGGAGGAGGGGCAGCCTCGGCTGATTCTGTGACAATGCCCTAATCTATGGATTTCACATGACTGGGAATACAGATATGCATCTGCTGGTCACAGATACCTTTAAAAAGAAAGTAGGGGCGTGGTTCAGAAAACCAGTCAGTATCTGGTGTGACCACCATTTACCTCATGCAGTGCGACACATCTCATACACATAGAGTTGATCAGGCTGTTGATTTTGGCCTGTGGAATGTTGTCCCACTCCTCTTCAATGGCTGTGTGAAGTTGCTGGTTTTTGGCGGGAAGTGGAACACGCTGTCGTACACGTCGATCCAGAGCATCCCAAACATGCTCAATGGGTGACATGTCTGGGGAGTATGCAGGCCATGGAAGAACTGAGACATTTTCACACTTCCAGGAATTGTGTACAGATCCTTGCGACATGGGGCCGTGCATTATCATGCTGAAACTTGAGGTGATGGCGGTGGATGAATGGCACGACAATGGGCCTCAGGATCTCATCCCGGTATCTCTTTGCATTCAAATTGCCATCGATAAAATGCAGTTGTGTTTGTTGTCCGTAGCTTATGCCTGCCCATATCATAACCCCACTGCCACCATGGGGCACTCTGTTTACAACATTGACGTCAGCAAACCACTCGCCCACACGACACCATACACGCTGTCTGCAATCTGCCCGGTACAGTTGAAACCGGATTCATCCGTGAATAGCACTCGAAGGTGAGCATTTGCCCACTGAACTCGGTTACGACGCCGAACTGCAGGCAGGTCAAGACCCTGGTGAGGACGACGAGCACGCAGATGAGCTTCCCTAAGACAGTTTCTGACAGTTTGTGCAGAAATTATTCGGTTGTACAAACCCACAGTTTCATCAGCTGTTTGGGTGGCTGGTCTCAGGCGATCCCGCAGGGGAAGAAGCCTGATGTGGAGGTCCTGGGCTGGTCTAAAAAAACTTTGGAGGCGGCTTATGGTAGAGAAATTAACATTCCATTTTCTGCCAACAGCTCTGGTGGACATTCCTGCAGTCAGCATGCCACTTGCACACTCCCTCAAAACTTGAGACATCTGTGGCATTGTGTTGTGACAAAACTGCAAATTTTTGATTGGCCTTTTATTGTCCCAAGCACAAGGTCCACCTGTGTAATGATCATGCTGTTTAATCAGCTTCTTGATATGCCACACCTGTCAGGTGGATGGATTATCTTGGCAAAGGAGAAATGCTCACTAACAGGGATGTAAACAAATCTGTGCACAAAATATGAGCTAAATAAGTTTTTGTGCATATGGAACATTTCTGGGATCTTTTATTTCAGATCATGAAACATGGGACCAACACTTTACATGTTGCATTTATATTTTTGTTCAGTGTAGTTAAAATGTTTTATATTGTAAGCAGTAGACATATAATTAAATGTGGAGTGGAGTTTTATAGTTACACAGTGACATCACGTGCACCGCGTACCTTGAAAATGATTCGGCAATCATCATTTATTCAAAAAAACACAGTATCCATCGTCATTTGTCGCAATAAATAATGTTTAAAAAAATTAAAAATCCACCCGTCGAATGGATAAAACTGTTGTCGATCTTTAGAAAATGTCTCCTATATCTGCCGTTTCCATTACACACATGACATTGCTTTTGTCGAATAAACCGGGGTCAATGGAAAATTGCCTAATGAGTGGGTGATTATATTTCAAGGCCAAATGTTGCCCCAATTTAACTCCCTCCCTCCTCTCTTAATCCCCCCCCCTCTTCCCCCTCTCCTCACCTCAGGCTAAGATTGTGTGGATGAAGAATAAGATGATCATTGGGGAGGATCCTAAATTCTTGATGCAGAACAACCAGGGGGTGTTGACCCTGAACATCAGGAAGCCCGGCCAGTTTGACGGGGGCAAGTACTCCTGTAAGGCCATCAACGACCTGGGGGAGGACGAGGTGGAGTGCAGGCTGGAAGTCCGAGGTACTGGCACACACACACACTGTCACACATGCACAGATAGATGTGCACAAACACACACACACACTACAACTCCTATCATGCTTAGCCTGAGACATACTTTTATTGGCAGTCAATAGTTGTCTAACTAATCATCAGTTATCATCAGTTAAACCCATTATTACAAAGCTGGTCATGGATTCACAATCTATGACTTATGATTATCGCTTGTTGGGAACACTGATAGTATGTAGTTATTCCTAACAAGATTAAACGTAGAGATTGTGCGTGTATATGCAGGCAGTTGTACAGAATACAAATCATCTTATTATACTGAACAAAAATATAAACACAACTATTTACTGAGTTAAACTTCATAGAAGGAAATCAGTCAATTGAAATAAATAAATTAGGCCCTAATTGATGGGTTTCACATGATTGGGCAGGAGCGCAGCCATGGGTGGGCCTGAAAGGGCATAGGCCCACCCACTTGGGAGCCAGGTCCACCCACTGGGGAGCCAGGCCCAGCCAATCAGAATGAGTTTTTCCCTACAAAAGGCCTTTTTACAGACAGAAATACTCCTCAGCCCCCCCTCCCCCTCAGACGATTCCGCAGGTGAAGAAGCCGGTTGTGGAGGTCCTGGGCTGGCGTGGTTACATGTGGTCTGTGGTTGTGAGGCCGGTTGGATGTACTGCCGAATTCTCTAAAACAACGTTGGAGGCAGCTTATGGTAGAGAAATGAACATTCAATTCTCTGGCAACAGCTCTGGTGGACATTCCTGCAGTCAGCATGCCAATTGAACACTCCCTCAAAACATCTGTGGCATTGTGTTGTAACTAAACTGCACATTTTTGAGTGGCCTCTTATTGTCTCCAGCACAAGGTGCACCTGTGTAATGATCATGCTGTTTAATCAGCTTCTTGATATGCCACACCTGTCCAGGTGGATGGATTATCTTGACAAAGGAGAAATGCTTACTAACAGGGATGTAAAGAAAATTGTGCAGAAAAGATGAGAGAAATAAGCTTTTTGTGCATATGGAACATTTCTGGAATGTTTTATTTCAGCTCATGAAAAATGGGACCAACACGTTTATATTGAGAGAGAGAGAGAGAGATTAAAGGAGTGTAGTAAAGTAGGATAATCCCCCTCTAGCCTCTCTTTCATGGTGAGTTTCTCTCTCTGCCCTCCCCAGTTTTACAGGAGAAGAAAGGAGACGAGGAGAAGAAATGAGCGACAGAGTGACAGAGGAAACACCAGAGGATACAGTTCTACAGGAATCATAATGGATTATGTATAACAGGATAGACGTGAATAAATATGATTACAATAAAAAAAACTGGTGAGGTTTTCTAAATATGCTCTCTCTCTTTCTTCCTCTCTCTATCCCTCTCTTTCTCACATCCTCACCAGTGGCATGTCAAATACCATATCGGTAATAACTGAATGAATTATGATAATAACAGACCACTACATCGAGACAAGCTAATTGAGAGTAGTAATAGAGTACCTTAATAATAGCTGAATATGACAGCGCAGGGATGGATTCTTCTTATCTGTGACATGAACCTGTCAGTGCAACACACATAAAACAGTAATTTACCAAAGCATTGTCAGTGTTGTGTGTGAGGTTCCGGGTGGGTTTATCACTGCTGGTGGGATTTATGATTGTAATGCTGCTAGTGAAAGCATTGCAGTGTGACTGGCTGACTGTTTGTGTTTGTGTGTTTGTGTGTGTGTACACCTACAGTGAGGGAAAAAATTATTTGATCCCCTGATGATTTTGTACGTTTGCCCACTGACAAAGAAATGATCAGTCTATAATTTTAATGGTATGTTTATTTGAACAGTGAGAGACAGAATAAAAAAAAATCCAGAAAAACGCATGTCAAAAATGTTATAAATTGATTTGCATTTTAATGAGGGAAATAAGTATTTGACCCCTTCTCAATCAGAAAGCTTTCTGGCTCCCAGGTGTCTTTTATACAGGTAACGAGCTGAGATTAGGAGCACACTCTTAAAGGGAGTGCTCCTAATCTCAGCTTGTTACCTGTACAAAAGACACCTGTCCACAGAAGCAATCAATCAATCAGATTCCAAACTCTCCACCATGGCCTAGACCAAAGAGCTCTCCAAAGATGTCAGGGACAAGATTGTAGACCTACACAAGGCTGGAATGGGCTACAAGACCATCGCCAAGCAGCTTGGTGAGAAGGTGACAACAGTTGGTGCGATTATTTGCAAATGGAAGAAACACAAAAGAACTGTCAATCTCCCTCGGCCTGGGGCTCCATGCAAGATCTCACCTCGTGGAGTTGCAATGATCATGAGAACGGTGAGGAATCAGCCCAGAACTACACAGGAGGATCTTGTCAATGATCTCAAGGCAGCTGGGACCATAGTCACCAAGAAAACAATTGGGAACACACTACGCCGTGAAGGACTGAAATCCTGCAGCGCCCGCAAGGTCCCCCTGCTCAAGAAAGCACATATACAGGCCCGTCTGAAGTCTGCCAATGAACATCTGAATGATTAGAGGAGAACTGGGTGAAAGTGTTGTGGTCAGATGAGACCAAAATCGAGCTCTTTGGCATCAACTCAACTCGCCGTGTTTGGAGGAATGCTGCCTATGACCCCAAGAACACCATCCCCACCGTCAAACATGGAGGTGGAAACATTATGCTTTGGGGGTGTTTTTCTGCTAAGGGGACAACTTCACCGCATCAAAGGGACAATGGACGGGGCCATGTACCGTCAAATCTTGGGTGAGAACCTCCTTCCCTCAGCCAGGGCATTGAAAATGGGTCGTGGATGGGTATTCCAGCATGACAATGACCCAAAACACACGGCCAAGGCAACAAAGGAGTGGCTCAAGAAGAAGCACATTAAGGTCCTTGAGTTGCCTAGCCAGTGTCCTTACCTTAATCCCATAGAAAATCTGTGGAGGGAGCTGAAGGTTCGAGTTGCCAAACGTCAGCCTCGAACCCTTAATGACTTGGAGAAGATCTGCAAAGAGGAGTGGAACAAAATCCCTCCTGAGATGTGTGCAAACCTGGTGACCAACTACAAGAAACGTCTGACCTCTGTGATTGCCAACAAGGGTTTTGCCACCAAGTACTAAGTCAAGTTTTGCAGAGGGGTCAAATATGTATTTCCCTCGTTAAAAATTAGGTATGGGGAGTGGAGGGTGGGTATGGGGAGTGGAGGGTGGGTATGGGGAGTGGGGATGAGGGGGTTTTCAAGGGGATGGAGGTGGAGTATGGGAGAGTGGAGTGGGTATTAGGTATGGGGAGTGGGAGTGGGTATGGGTGTGGGGGGGTGGGAGTGAGGGTGGGTATGGGGAGTGGAGGGTAGGTATGGGGAGTGGAGGGTGGGTATGGGGAGTGGAGGGGGGGTGGTGGGTATGGGGAGTGGTGGGTGGGTTTAGGTTATGGGGTGGAGGGTGGGTTGGGGGTGGAGGGTGGTATGGGGGTGGAGGGTGGGTATGTTATGGGAGTGGAGGGTAGTATGGGGAGTGGAGGGTGGTTGGGGTAGTGGAGGGTAGTTGGGGAGTGGGGGTTGGTATGGGGAGTGGGGGTAGGTATGGGGAGTTTGGGGTGGGGTTATGGGGGTGGAGTTTATGGTATTGGGGGTGGGGGTTTGTATGGGGAGTGGAGGGTTTAGGTTTGGGGAGTGGGGGTTATTAGTTTGGGGAGTGGAGGGTTTGGTATGGGGTGTGGAGGGTGGTATTTGGGAGTTCGTGGTGTCTGGTTTGGGTGTGGTTGGGTTGGGTGGTTGGGTGATTTTGGGGAGTTGGGTGGTTTGGTTTTATTGGTTTTGGGGGGTCGTGGTGGGTGTTGTTTTGGGTTGTTTTATGGTTCTGTTCTAATGGGTAGTGTCTGGGGTCGGGTGTTTGGAGCTGGTTTTTCTGATGAGGGTCTTTGGGGTGTTCGGGGTTGGTTGTGTGAGTTTTGGGGTGGGTTTTCTTGGGTGGTTTGTTTTGTTTTTGGGTCGGTGTTTTTTGGGTGGTTGGTGTTGGGTCTTGGTGGGGTGTGTGTTTGGTTTTAGGTCTTTGGTTGTGTGTGGAGGGTGGACTGGTGTCGTTGGCTGGTCTTTGGTTTGGTTTTGTTTGGGGCTGGGGGTTTTAGGTCTGGGTGGTGGTGGTTGGTTTTGGGGGTTTTGGTGGTGTCGGTTTTGGTTGGGTGAGGGTTATGGTTTTGGGGTAGTTGGGTTGGGTTGGTGGGGGTGGGTGCTTGTTGGGTTTTTTGCTGTGGGTTGTTGTTGGGTGGGTTGTTTGGGGTTTGTGTGGTTTTTGTGTTGTTCTTTGGTCTGGGTTGGGTTTTGGGTGGGGTTTTTTGTTTGGGTTTTGGGCGTTTGGGGTGGAGGGTGGGTATTGGTATGGGGGTGGGGGTTGGGTTTAGGTTGGGGTGGCGGGTGGGTTGGGTTGGGTGGGTGGGTGGGTTGGGTGGGTGGAGGGTGGGGGTGGGTTTATGTTGGGGAGTGGAGGGGGTTTTGGTATTTTTTGGGAGTGGGGGTGGGTTTAGTATGGGGTTGGGGGTTGGTGGGTGGTATTCTTGTTGGGTTTGCTTGGTTTTGGTGTTGGTTTTTGGTTGGGGTGTGTGTTAGGGGTTGGTTGGGCGGGTTTTTGGTATGGGGAGTGGAGGGGGTGGGTATTAGGTATGGGGAGTGGAGGGTGGGTATTAGGTATGGGGAGTGAGGGTGTGTTGGTGTGGGTATTAGGTTGGAGTGGGTGGGTATTAGGTATGGGGAGTGGAGGGTGGGTATTAGGTATGGGGAGTGGAAGGGTGGTGGGTGGGTATTAGGTATGGGGAGTGGAGGGAAGAGTCTCTCAGACCAAAGCCTCTCAGCACTGAGCTGGATACACAGGCTGGGTGGAGGGGATCACTGCTCAGCCATGTGTGTCCAGCATCATATATTTTAAGAATTACTACTTACTTACAACCAAACTCACACTCAAACACATACACACACTCACACACGAATTAGGGTCTCATTAGCATAACACACTGGAGACTAATTAACGCACCCATCAACACTGCCCTAATTAGCTCTCCCACATCATTACTGAGCAAACGAATTACCGCTAATTAACACACCCGCAAAACAAACAGCACCGTCTCCGTTGGGAAAGACCGCCGCGCGCGCCTTGCACACTAAATTAGATCCTTGTACGCACCACAACCAACCAGGCCCATGGCGGAGCCTGCTATTCATCGGTCTGACAACCACAAGATTTACAAAAGATAAAAGTGGAGAGAACGCTGAGAGAATTTGATCAAGTGGGCTGAATTGTGAGGACTAGGACTATCCAGAGTCATGGCTCTGGGCCTATCTATGTTTAACATGCTTTCGCTGCAATATTCTGGGAGGGATTTAAATATGTATTTGACTAGTCCAGAATAAAGCGTGGGTTGGGGACAACTTCAGGGCTGAGTTGGCCATTGGACTGACTGACTGCGGCCTGTAGGCCTATGTGTTACCTCTAGAGGGAGTGAGAGTATAGTGACTCAACCACTGAGGGACCCTAACACTGACCAGCCCGTACAGGATCCTTTGATTGACAGGTCATTAACTACTTGATTAACCGTAGCATCAGGCCAAGCTTTCATAGACTCCTTATAGCAAGGTTTTTTTTCTGAAAAAGATACAGTACATTAGATACATACACTTTATATAGACCGCTGTACTTAGGTATGGCCTACATAAGGGTCCACATTTATTGAAAGTGAAAGAACTAAAATGTTTTGCCATTGGTTTCATGTAGGAGGTCAGAAGTGAAAATAATGAAGTTTGCACACTTCATTAGTTGACATTTTAAAGGCAGAGGGAAACCCTGTAGGACATGGTTGTTTTGTAGTAGCTTGGCTTACAGTAGAACATTTAACTTTCAAACTAGCTCCACTGTATGCTCCGTCAAAGTTAATGTGTGATTCTAAATAGCTGTCCTTTGTTTTTTAAATGTTTCTATTTATGAAATAAGTGTTTTAAGCATTCCTGATTTAAAGCACAGAGCTGCTATGAAAATGTGATCTGAAAAGTTTAGGGAAACAACTCCTCGTGAACACAAACAAAGGAGACGTAACATGGAACCAATGCTCCATCTGAGCTTTCTAACCATTTCATGCTCTCAGAAGTCACTTTCTGTTGCTAAGCAATCAAACTAATTGTACCTGCTGGGACGACATTTACACGCTTTCACATATTTTAATAGTTTTTAAATAAAACATCTAGGTCTCTCGCTCTCTCGCTCTGTCTAACACACACAGACACATTGTGGTTTTTTGGGAGCTTTAAAAAAAGTGTCTCTGAGGAGAAATAATGCATTTTGTTTTGCTTCTCCCGGTGACACACCTCAAGGCTTTTAAAGTTTTCAATTCCTGAATGAATAATGAATAATGAATGATGAAACCGGGCCACCGCAGCCCAGGAGTAGACCAGAATCTCTATCGCCATCCCAATATTAGCACACAGCTCCTTCTCACACAGCTAGAGACAGAGAGACATCTACAGAGAGTGACAGACAGACTAACCCGGCGAGAGAGAGAGCGAGATGGGAGGGGGGTGAAACAGAGAGGTGTTCAGAAGAGACAGAGACAGAGCTCCTGAAACAGTGAGATGGAGAGAACTATAATTATGCCACTAATTATACATGCAATCACAGAGTTGGAGGGAGAGGGAGGGAGAGAGAGGGGAGAGAGGGAGAGAGAGAGAGGGGAGGGGGAGAAGGAGCAGGAGAGGGAGCGAGTCTCCACCGTGTAATTACAGTATAAGAACCAAATGAGACACAGAGGAAACACAGGAACATCATACAGTACAGCTCATCCACCTATACATAGTCCACTCTCTCCTACCAACTCACTGCATAGATGTCTCATTACAGCATAGATACTCTAACACAAGCCATGTTCGGTAGCTAAAACACACACACACACGTGCACATACATATGCATTCACACGAGCACACAAGCATACATTCATAACCAATCGCTCTAAACAAGATACAAGACTAAAACAGACAGGTCGTTCAAAATTGACTTTGAAATTGGACGTCTATCCATGTCCTGAGGACAATGGGAAATGCCTTCAAAGCCGGCCACTAGGGGTAACAGTGAGCGCTATAACCATCAAGTAGGCTTGGGTCAGAAGGTTGCGTGTTCGATCCCAGTCGTGGACACTGGTTTTTTATTTTGGGTTTTAACCCATCCCAAACCTTAACCCTTACCTTAACCATTCGGAATGACTGCCTAAACTTAACCTTTAACTTCAAAATTTGATGTTTGGGGAAATGGAAAATACAGAGAAGCAGGAGCAACATAAACACTTAGGAATTTAACATTTGGTGCAACTTAGAAATGTGATATTTGGAGAATGTGGATGACCGTCTAATTCTGCAGTGAGACTATGAGAGCTTGTTGAAATAAAATTTAAAACACACTCATCCATCAACACAGTCTCATTTTTTATTTTATTTTTTGTTGTTACAGTATGCTCTATTCCATATCAGTATTCCCTGTGTCATCGTGTTCATTGATTAACCTCTTAAGGATCGGACCCTTATTTTCGCCTAAAATGACATACTCAAATCTAACTGCCTTTACAGTGGCTTGCGAAAGTATTCACCCCCCTTGGCATTTTTCCTATTTTGTTACCTTACAACCTGGAATTGAAATTGATTTTTGGGGGGGTTGTATCATTTGATTTACACAACATGCCTACCACTTTGAAGATGCAAAATATTTTTTTGTTGTGAAACAAACAAAAAATAAGACAAAAAAATAGAAAACTTGTAGAGCCACCTTTTGCAGCAATTAAAGATGCAAGTCTCTTGGGGTATGTCTCTATAAGCTCCATAAGTCTCCTCTAGCCACTAGGATTTTTGCCCATTCTTCGAGGCAAAACTGCTCCAGCTCCTTCAAGTTGGATGGGTTCCACTGGTGTACAGCAATCTTTAAGTCATACCACAGATTCTCAATTGGATTGAGGTCTGGGCTTTGACTAGGCCATTCCAAGACATTTAAATGTTTCCCCTTAAACCACTCGAGTGTTGCTTTAGCAGTATGCTTAGGGTCATTGTCCTGCTGGAAGGTGAACCTCCGTCCCAGTCTCAAATCTCTGGAAGACTGAAACAGGTTTCCCTCAAGATTTTCCCTGTATTTAGCGCCATCCATCATTCCTTCAATTCTGACCAGTTTCCCAGTCCCTGAAGATGAAAAACATCCCCACAGCATGATGCTGCCACCACCATGCTTCACTGTGGGGATGGTGTTCTCAGGGTGATGAGAGGTGTTGGGTTTGCGCCAGACATAGCATTTTCCTTGATGGCCAAAAAGCTCAATTTTAGTCTCATCTGATCAGAGTAACTTCTTCCATATGTTTGGGGAGTCTCCCACATGCCTTTTGGCGAACACCAAACGTGTTTGCTTATTTTTTTCTTTAAGCAATGGCTTTTTTTCTGGCCACTCTTCCGTAAAGCCCAGCTCTGTGGAGTGTACGGCTTAAAGTGGTCCTATGGACAGATACTCCAATCTCCACTGTGGAGCTTTGCAGCTCCTTCAGGGTTATCTTCGGTCTCTTTGTTGCCTCTCTGATTAATGCCCTCCTTGTCTGGTCCGTGAGTTTTGGTGGGCAGCCCTCTCTTGGCAGGTTTGTTGGTGCCATATTCTTTTCATTTTTTAAATAATGAATTTAATGGTGCTCCGTGGGATGTTCAAAGTTTCTGATATTTTTTTAGAACCCAACCCTGATCTATACTTCTCCACAACTTTGTCCCTGACCTGTTTGGAGAGCTCCTTGGTCTTCATGGTGCCGCTTGCTTGGTGGTGCCCCTTGCTTAGTGGTGTTGCAGACTCTGGGGCCTTTCAGAACAGGTGTTTATATACTGAGATCATGTGGCAGATCATGTGACACTTAGATTGCACACAGGTGGACTTTATTTAACTAATTATGTGACTTCTGAAGGTAATTGGTTGCACCAGATCTTATTTAGGGGCTTCATAGCAAAGGGGGTGAATACATATGCACGCACCGCTTTTCCGTTATTAATGTTTTAGAGTTATTTTTCCCATTTGACTTCACCAATTTGGACTATTTTGTGTATGTCCATTACATGAAATCCAAATAAAAATCCATTTAAATAACAGGTTGTAATGCAACAGAATGGAAAAAACACCAAGGGGGATGAATACTTTTGCAAGGCACTGTAGCGTAGCTCAGGACCTGAAGCAAGGATTTGCATATTCTTGATACCATTTGAAAGGAAACACTGAGGTTTGTGGAAATGTGAAATTAATGTAGGAGAATATAACACATTAGATCTATTAAAAGATAATACAAACCAAAAAACATGTTTATTTTTGTAAAATGTTTTCATCATCTTTGAAATGAAAAGAAAGGCCACAAAATAATATTGCAGTTTAGGCGCAATTTAGATTTTGGCCAATAGATGGGATCAGTGTGTGTCCAAAGTTTCAGATTGATCCAGTGCAGCATTGCAATACTGGACTATTTTGTATCAAGTCTGCCCAAATGTGCCGAATTGGTCAATTGATACATTTTCAAGTACATAACTATAGAGAACACATCTGTGGTCCTTTGTAGCTCAATTGGTAGAGCATGGCGCTTGTAATGCCAGGGTAGTGGGTTCAATCCCCGGGACCATCCGTACGTAAAAATGTATGCACGCCAGGGTAAGTCGCCAGGGTAAGTCGCTTTGGATAAAAACGTCTGCTAAATGGCATATTATTATCTAGATGGCCGGGTGGGGTGGGTGTGGAGCCAGAGACAGCAGGGGTTCAAACTGTAGAACCCAGTTCCTACATTTGAATAAAAAAAAATATTTAGGCTAATTGACATAATTTGAGTCAATTGGAGGTGTACCTGTGGATGTATTTCAAGGCCGACCTTCAAACTCAGTGCCTCTTTGCTTGACATCATGAGAAAATCAAAAGAAATCAGCCAAGACCTCAGAAAAAAAATGGTAGACCTCCACAAGTCTGGTTCATCCTTGGGAGCAATTTCCAAATGCCTGAAGGTACCACGTTCATCTGTACAAACAATAGAACGCAAGTATAAACACCATGGGACCATGCAGCCGTCATACCGCTCAGGAAGGAGACACATTCTGTCTCCTAGAGATGAAAGTACTTTGGTGCGAAAAGTGCAAATCAATCCCAGAACAACAGCAAAGGACCTTGTGAAGATGCTGGAGGAAACAGGTACAAAAGTATATATATCCACAGCAGAGGTGGGTAGAGTAGCCAAAAATTGTACTCAAGTAAAAGTACTGTTACTTCAGAATAATATGACTCAAGTAAAAGTAAAAAGTAGTCATCCAAATAATTACTTGAGTAAGAGTAAAAAAGTACTTGGTGAAAAAACTACTCAAGTACTGAGTAACTGTTGAGTAACGTCTGATTTATTTTTTAACACAAGACAACAATCAGACAGACAAAAATACAAAATAATCATCTTTAATGAATTACAAAATAGCTTAAATTAAAATAATTCAGGTAAATTGAAGTATTAAAAAATAAAATAATAATAAATAAAAAATAAATAAGCACAAGTAACACACATTTCCAAACCTTTATACTTTTCTTTACCACGCAGAACTAGAACGAGGCAGCCCATAAACTCTCATAAACTGTGTGTGTGTCTCCACAGTGACAGAACAACAGAAGGAAACACACAAACATTTCATACCAGGCATGCTGAACAGAAAACTGCACACCGGAAGGAAGCGGTCAACGTAAAATAATCAATAGGTGTTGATTAGGCCTACTCAGTACCTTTGTATTGCATGGCAAGCAACAGCCCTTTTTCTGTGTGCCTAGAAATGAATACTCTTATCTGTGATTAGGCCACACTGCACATCTCACTGAGCAGAGGAAAAGAGCAGCAGTACACATCAACTGAAAAAGCACCAGTCCATGATAGATGGCCAAATAAAACAATATTGCAGGCCTAGTATCCCAGAACACAAAGGCATTAGAGGAGAGTGATGTAGTTGTAGATCGGGCATTATGTTTACTTCCAGTTCCAATATCTAACAAGAAAAGTCAGCAAAAAAAAGTCACACTAGCTATATTGCCACCCTGTGGTTTGTCACTGACACACTATAATCCTAAATGACAGTAACATTATACAGAGTTATATAGGTCAATGTCTACTGGTTCACATTTGAATTGATAAACAAGTATATTTACCAGCATTTAAGATGTTCTCCTCTGTGGTCCAGGATGTTCTGAATCTTGGTAGGAGTATTGCTGCTGCAATCAGCTCAGGCTCTTTCATGACGTCTCCAAAACGTTTCTGGATCCCTTGCTGCAGGGCGTGAACAAGAGGTGTACACATTTTGCAAGTTGACTCCAACTTCTTCAGCTTGTCCCGCAACTGGTAAAGTGTTGGCAGCAGGAGGCCCATATGCACAGATGATTCCCCTTGGAGGATATTAAGGGCCATGGCAACAGGCTTCATCACAGCAGCATACTCGACCAAAAACCCATTTTCAGCTGGATTGAACCTATAAAAGATGTAACGATAAAACAATTACTTATAGCTATTTCTGGTACAATGTCTTTATTATGCATTGTGCATGTTAAATA